GATTCAAGTAAAACAGTATCAAGTGAATTAAACTTCACCCCATTGCTCAAGCAAGTGGCTATCAGGACTCAGAAGCTAAGTGGATAACGCGATGGCGTTTGAGGCGAATGGTACTGAGATCGAGTCCCGGAGTGAGCATTGACTCTGAGATGCAGATACATCCAGCTGACGAGTCTCAAACAGGACGAAACGCGTGTCCTGGATTCCACTGCTAGCCGCTATCCATCTTTGCTTATAATTATTATAATTATTGGCTTTATTAAATACTATATTTTTAGTACAATATAGAATTCTCAGCACAAAGTATCTCAGCAAGTTTCTTCTTATTTCTTGATCGATCCTGACCACATATATTGAGTGATCGCAAGTCAGTTGTTAGCAGTTCAGGAATAGATATTTGATTAATGTACATCAAAAACTTAATCATCTCCACAACCGCTATACTAGTAATACATTCTTCTGGTTGGATATTGCCTGCAACCATGATGTCTGTGAATACACTTTTTTGTAACTTATATACAAACGCACTTGAATAGGTTATGCGATTAATAGACATAATGATATGTTATAACACACACACACACACACACACGAAACAGATATTTTATTGAAATATCTAAATGACAAGAAAAGGTAGCCCAAATTGAATTATTTTTTTTAACGAATTAGTTTTCTACAGGATTGGGTCACTAACCTCATACCTAACTCTCCTCCTTTATCCGAGCTTGTGACCGGTAGTAGCCCCAAATAGAGTCCAGGAGGAGTTAAGTAGCCCAGATATTCAATAAATAAAACTGAACAAGCCAAAACTAAATGATTACACGTGTACAATCTTGTTACTTTTTACCCTTACTGTTCATTTCATTTTGACAGTATAAATAATCCGAAAATAAGATTATTTCTATCTAATGCTTCTATTATATATAAACACACAATAATAGTAATACTACTACTAATAATAATAATTTGTTACTTAATTAATCAATAACACGGAAACCAAACAACATACCATGATGGATAACATTTTCCCAAAATTAATTTATATTGTCGTTGATACTAATTGGAATGAGCAACTTAATGGATTTCTTCCAGGTTACTATTATTATTGAATTTACAGTATTTTAATAATGCGTAAACAATAATCTTAGAAAAGAGTCAAACAACAAGGTTATATAACTTGAAACAAAAAAACAACTCTATGCTTTTATTAAGTGACAAAAGAGAGGAGGATGAGGAGGGGGGGAGAGTGAAAGAGGGAGAGGGAAGTGAACACTAACATGACATCTTTTTTGTGTGTGTTTTTTTTTGTGTTTTCTTGTTGGTTAGTCGAAAATAAAAAGGAAATCTAATCAATTAACATTGATGGAAATAAATAATTTAATTAATTAAAGAGAACAATAAAACTATTTATTAAAACACTTGTCATATAAACAAAAATGTTGATGATTAAATTTGTTTTGTTCCTAAGTGATTTTTTATATTTATTTTATAACGTCTAGGTGATCATCTTATTCTTGTTCTTGGATAAATGAAACATTTAGATCATAATTAGTTATTGTTTACATTAGATTTTTGTTTTAGTTAAGGATTCATTTTTAATATCAGAATGGCTTGTTTCTTATGAATATTATAGAAAAATTTGACAGTTGAGATTATTAGCTAATTGAAGCTAGACGATCATGAAAAACTTGGGAGTATTGGACGGTTGTTTCATCCTATTGTGGGACTCTTTGGTAGTGTGATAGTAACTCAATGAAGATAATGATGGATGTGTAGCTCAATTTCGTGAATTGGTTGAAGTTAGAGATTAATACCGTTAGATGATGGCTTAGCGGTTTAATGGTTAAGCGCTCGCGCGCGAGACTGATAGGTTTTGGATTCGAATCTCGCAATGCGGGATCGCTACTCATTTTTATTTGTATAAGCTTTTGGCGAGTGCGTATGCTTTGCTTGCTTAATAGTATTTCGTAGAATTTATAGAAACAGCGATGAGACTATAATATGTAGACAACCTATGAGTGACTTTAAAGTGACCTTGAGGATGTCCACCAACTTACTAGAGCTAAATGAAGGTTATAAACCTGTCTGAAGAATGAGAATTATGATTTACAGTTGATGGTTAGGGTTATTATTTTCATCATGAACGGACATCAGTTAAGATGCAAAACATTATTTAGATAAATGAATGAATGAGTTTCTCACCAAAATTCAACACCTATTATCTTAACTCTGATTGGTTTGTCCATAAATTATTGTCTCACCAAAACAGCATATAAAAACTATGTCATGTTGAATATTCTTTGAGTTAGTGTGTTACCAACTCCAACGCTAAATCGTTAGTTGTTTATCTGCTGCGATCGAGTGAATCTACACAAATGGGATAAATAAAGGTTCCATATTTGATTTATCATTGTTTATTTATTCATTAAAATCAATATACGATTATGAAAAGTTCGAGTAGCATTCAGAATGTATTAAGTTGAATAATAAAGTTTGTATACAAAACCTAAGCAAATATGTATGGTGGCTAGCGGTGGAAACTATGACGCGAGTTTCGTCCTATCTGCGAATCGTCAGCTGGATGTACCTGTGATTCAAGATGAATGGATAAATTGACCTGTCCAGAAGCCAGAATAAGTTATATTGGATTAACATAGGAACCGACACTACAAACTTTTCGAAATCATGTAAAATGTAAACTATACAGTTGATTTATTTAAAGGCTATGATAATTAAATATTAGATGAATCAAAAATGTTCTTTGAGAGCATAAATTTTATAAATAATCAGAATATTTTGTTATTGATATAAGTATTCTAGAATATTTGGTACATCATAGTTTGTCACTGGTTTACGCTCATGATTCTCTATGCGATTGAATCTATGATGTTTAGTATCCACAAAAAGCACAATACCATAGAATTGTTTAGAATCACTAACTGATTTAACTTAGAAAAATTATTGAAAACATGGGATCAGTAGACGTTTGATTCGTTCACATTAAATAATCAAGACCCCGGAAAAAGAAAATTGAACCTAGGAACTTTGATCTTGAGTAAAAAATCTTAATCCCCGGATCACTAAACTAAGGTTCAGTGGTATATATATCTGACGCCAATCCACTCACAATATTAAATGAACTCTTCTCATAGCTTACTGCAAATTTCAATAGATGTATTACAAAAGTCCGTTCATGATATATATATATATATATATATAAGAACTTTGGTCTAAATTTGATCGAATAATTCCACAGTATTAAAGCACCGAGTTGATGTGAGACATTAAAGAGGCAGAATGCATTTGTAAAATCTCAGCGAATGAATTTGAACTAGATCCAAAATTTCATCTGACAACCTGGTCCAAGCTTTTTCAAGGAAATATAATCAACCATCACAAGTACCGAATATAAATGGGTACATAGCTCTCCGGTTTTTACTGTATACTGATTAGGTCATCCGATCAACGTTAACAGTGTTTAAGATAGGTAGTTGCATTAGTGTGTAAGAGACATGTGGTATGAAACGAAAAGTGTTAAGATAACAGATTGTGTGTATACATAAGTGGTGTGAGAAGAAATTCCATTCACTATATATTGTCTCTGGTCGGTGAATATTAAGAACACATATAATGTTTATTAATGATATGAATCAATAATGTCACAGCATGCATTAAATGAAGATAAATGGATAAGATGAAGAAATGAATTCGAAGAGGAAGAATGTATTTGCAAATGAATGTTTGTTATTTTAATGTTCTGGTTAATTGTTTAACATATTCAGATAAGATAACTGATTTGAACCGTTGAATGTAATTTCTGTTATTCAGGAAATACGAAACAGATAGGGAGTTTAGGTTTACTTATTAATTATTAGTTGCCACGGGACAGCCAGTTGTATTTCATCTCTTATATTAATACTGTTTGAATTAGCCCATATATGTAGTCTTTCGGCTGTTAGTCGTTCTTTGTAAGAATTAAAGCATTTTGAAAGATTCTTATGCCATTGAAATCAATTATATGACGCTATTCTATTTACTGTAATGCTATAGCTGATTTATTCTCGAGTTTTATTCATCTGAGGATTTACGAATGTGCTGTAAGCAAAGATTGTGTTCCTTTAACCTCACATTCAGTTGTCTTAATATCTCACCTACATACGTTGCATTACAGTCACTAAACCTGAGTTCATAAACACAATTTTGTTGTTCCTCCTTATGTCACAGCATGCATGTCAGCACTAAAACCTGTGGTTGATTATGTGATGGTGTAGAACTATATATATATATATATATATATATATATATATATATATATATATATATATCCCGACCGTTGTTGATACCTTGACGTGGTGGTCAGGCATGCCTATCGTAATGAACCAATTGAGCTGTACTGGCTGGAACAATTGTTCCTCTAGGTCCTACCATACCAGACAGGTCGGTTTAAGAACGGTAAGACTGAAGGCAACAAACTCAAGGTCCGATGGTGAATTCGTACATCTGACTGTACAGAGGTGTGACAGCAGTAAGGTGTTACCTTCAAACAGCCAGCATAACAGCGATGTTGCCTTCCCACAGGGAGGGGTGGGCTTAGAAAAGGACGACCCTAAAAATGCACATCTCGTCTTATCCCACGGATTCCCGTCTTAATCGGTAAGGTCAAAAGAAGTATGGAGCTAACACGAAAATTACCGTCTAAAGGTCATGGGTGACCGACTTCAAGCAGTTGTCCCTTTGGCACTGCAGTCACGCTCTCAAGTCATTAAGACCACCCCTACTTCAATTTCCTTTTCAGGTACTTACAGAAGTACCCTTGTACGGTGTGGGCAACTGGGAACTGATAACCGCCATCATACCTCTAACAACATCCAAGACCAGTGACAGATATATATATATTTGCGAAATCAATCTACTTTCATGTTTCATCATCTTCTATTCTATTCACATTTATGTTTTTATTTGCTTTCTTTTTTTTTCCTCATTTAGATGGAATACTTACTATGACACAAGATGTAAAGAATACCGAATATGTTTTTTTAATCTTTACATGTTCATATCGTTTTGGTCGTGATGATTTAGATGTATTAGGATTAACATTTCAAAAAGAATTATTAATTTATACAAAATGTTTATGGCCAAATCATCCATTTGATGATAATAATAATACTAAAGTTAATAAAAAATGGAATAATACATGGAAAAAAATAAAACGTTTATCAAAACGTAAAATTAATTCAAATGAACAAATTTCATGTACAATAATAAATGATAATGATCCATATGGAATATTTTGTGAAACATTAAAAGAGAATATTTATCACCATTTCAAGTAAAATTAATAAATAAACATGGTGATTTGGCATTTCCATTTCGTATCATTGTAAGTTATAATGATTTAGAATTGATAATTTTGTAAAACGTGGGGGGTGGGGGGTGAGTTGTGTGTGAATATGATAGTAATAGTAATAAACGGCTGTTTCATCGTAGTATGAGCATCATCAACAGAACGCTTCTATGATCCCGGACGCAAGAAAAAATTTTAGTCAGAGAGGGATTTTGTGGATATTACAGTAATTTCATAGTTAAATTCATGAATGAATGAAAGCTATATCATCATGAAAAACCTAGGACACTCTTTATTAGTGAGTATCATCGATTCCACGGCCGTCCAGTGCTTCTAGGTTTTTACCATGATGGTCAAGCTTTAATTGACTCACTAACTCAACTATTAAGTTTTGTGTATAAATAAATAAATGGAAAAAAGAATTGTCGATATTCGATTGTATATTAAAGACATACCTAGAAGCACTGGACGGTTGTTCCCGTGCTTACTGCTAAGAAGTCCCATACTAGAACAAAACGGGCATTTAGTGCTTCCAGGTTTTCCATGATAGTCTAACTTTAATCGACTTATGAATTCAACCATTAAATTGGTTTTATTTCTTATTTCAAATTTTACATGTAGAATTAATATCAGAAGAGATCATAAGTCGATTGAAGCTAGACTATCATGAAAAACCTGGATGTAATGGACGATCTTTTCATCCTAGTATGAGACTACTCAGTAGTGCGCTTTACGATCCTACAGCCGGCTACTGCTTCTAGGTTTTCCATGATGATCTAGCTTCAATTGACTCATGAACTCAACTATTAGATTTTATATATCAATAAATAGATAGAAAAAGAGAATTGTCGATATTTGTGTATTAAGGACAAACTTATTGTATTGTTATTGTATAAAGGATTTGAGTAAATAAAAACATTTGCTTTAAAGTATGATAATAATGTCGTGAAATAATAAAATACTAATTACCATTCGTTATTCATGTAAAAGGAAAATGATTGACAATCTATTTATAGCCATCATGTTTCTATAGACAAATATTAATTATGCATAAGGTCATGTTCTTTACATTATATATGCAGTAATGAACTCAACGAGTAATTATCTATTAACTGAATAAATCTTAGATACTGGATATCATTTCAGTTGTATATCAATAATTCCTAAGATACTAGATATTGAATTTAGTCCTGGATGAGATAAATCATCAATAAATTTCAAATGAAGTACAGTTTCGATGAGTTCATTTTGATGTTTCTTGTTACTCAAGTAGTCTTAAATGATAGGATATATTACAATTATTAGATAGATACAGTTGGGATGCTATAGAATTTAGATAATAGATTGATTACAGAACCATTCGTTTATAACCCTAGCTTATTAGTAGATATTTATCTTGTGGCTTACTTATTCTTTTATTGATTTTATAAACAACCAAATTTCTACTCTAATGATGATGTTCGAGAGTTTCTCATTAAAATCATGAACCTATGGACGTTAGATTATCATTCAAAACTCGGACGCACTGGACTATGGTTTCCTTCTAATGTGTGATTCTTCAGTAGTGAGCATCCATGATCTCTCAACTGGAATGAAATCCAAGAGCTTCAACCTCACTCATGAACCCTTTAAATTCTGTACCATTGAGTCAGTATCCAATAGTCGTAGATGTACACTTTTGAGAAATCCTATACTAGGACGAAACGAGCATCCAATGCTTCCAGGTTTTCAATACTAGTCTAACATTGATGGTTCATCATTTTAATACAATCCAACCATCTTCACAACCTTATACTGATCAAAGCTTCCCAACCAAAACCCAACATGATAAATATTAGATTATTTGAAATTTAATGGTTTATTGTGTAAAATTTCTGACAGTGAGAATAACATATGAATAGCAAAATAACGCAAATTATTAAGATAACCTGTGAGAGAGAAGATTGGTTTTTGGTTAACCTCATCGAGATAATCATTCAGCATCAAAAAATGACTAAAATAAAGATGAAGAAAAAAGATAAATAGAGATTAGTGTATTAGAATGAAGTAATAATAATGGAAGAGGCAGTCCAGTTAGCAATGGAACAACCAGAAAGAATTCTTTCAGTTAACGAAGTTACTTACACCTTTAGAAAGAAAGTAAAAGAAAATTATGGCGAGATTTCTGCTGGCTTGTACTCTAAGATATGTATAATAACGTTTCTAGCCACTGTGTTGCATCATCTCCAGGACCCTACCCTCAGAGTTATGAAAGACTAACATACGTCAGTCCTGTACAGCATTCTTTCATACCACGACAATATGTCACACAGTGACCACCTCCCCACGTTTTCCAACCACTCAAGTAAACAATACCAAGTCAGTTTAAACTTTACCCTAATTGCACGGCAGATAGCTATCAGGACTCAGTAGCTAAGTGGATAACGCGTTGGCGTTTGAAGTGAACGGTACTAGGTTCGAGTCGTGGAGTAAACATCAACTCTGACATGTAGGTACATCTAACTGACTTGTCTCAAAATGAACGAAACGCGCATCATGTATTCCACTACTAACCAATAGCCATCTTTACTCATAATTTATTATAATTTTATTTTCATTTTGTTTGTATAAGCAGTTTATCATTGTGAGAAAAATAATATAATAAGAACTTAATGTTAATTATTAGTATACGGGTTGTCGAGATTACTAAGTTTTTGATAGAGATCATGAACCGATTGATGTTAGACCACCGTTGGAAACCAGAAAACACTGGACGGCCGTCTCGTCCTATTGTGGGACTCCTGAGCAGTGCGCAGCTACGATCCCGCCTCAAGATGTATATCCTGAAGTTCTAGTGTGAAGTAGTGACCAGTGGAGTTCAACCGGGTCTGTTGTAAGATATTAACTTAGTGATGACAATGGTGGACGTGACGCTCAATTTCGTGGATTGGTTGAAGTTAGACATTAACACCATTGAATACCGGTTCAGTGGTCTAGTGGTTAAGCGTTCGAGCGTGAGGCCGATAGGTCCGGAGTTCGAATCCCGCGGTAGGATGAGACAGCGGCTCAGTGCTTCCAGGTTTTCCATGGTGGTCTAGCTTCAAGTGACTCATGATCTCAACCATTGAAATTAATCCATTTAGTTTAATGATATCTCATTTACAGGTTTTATTACATTAAAGTTTAAAATTATTCGGATCTTTATCCAGTCAGTGAGACACATTCTGTGTTTATTCACTGATAAACAATTATGACTGTGTAAAGTCCTCCGAAAAGTTGGTTGTTTTTATATTTTAGTGAGGATTAAACAACGGGTAACTTCTGAGAACTATTAATGAACTAATATTATATATATTTATATATTCCTATTGTATAAGTGTTCGGTAACTAGATTATGCATATCTATATTCCTCTTATTATAAGCTTCATTTCGACCTTAAGAATATGATTATACGATTTACTGTTCCGAAGTTATGTTCAATTGGCGAGACTATAATTTATGAACGAATCAATTGGATATAAGAAAAGAGGTCTTGGATTTTGGCATGAAATTCACTCATCCATATGGGTAAATAGAGTTTCGGCATTACAGTTGATGTCAGATCGTGATGAAATCCCTACATCTAATTCCTAACCTTAACCATCAACTGTGAATCCTAATTCCAATTCCTCACAACAGTTTCTAACCCTCATTTTGTCCTAGTTATTAAGTGTACACTCTCAACGTTACTTTAGTATCGCTCAAAGACCGTCCATAAATTATAGTCTTACCGTTCAGTTTATAGACTAAAATCTCCCACATTCACAGCCACTTTTGGGCTTGATGCTGTATAAATGTTATTTCCTATTTTATGGTTTAATGCGGTCTGTTTGACTGGTATATAAACCAAGTATGATTCGCATAGTGGAACCTGAACTCCAAATGGAAGGGCTAAGAGGAAAAAGGATAAATAAGGATGTAAAGTTGTTCATACCGATCGAACATCATTGATTTAGCACAGTACTAAGATTGACAAATAAATCATCATAATTAACCGGTATTAAAAATGAATATGATAATCATTATATCATTTAAATACTTTGTACATTTGATAATGATAAACAAAATCAAATAAGAAAATTATAGATCATGAATTTCCGATCAGAACACGTAGATATAATTATTTTTCAAAATAGAATATTACACATATACAGAACATTGATTAAGATTTTAGATAAAATAGATTGTAAATGAATAAATTATCTCATCAATTGATATTTCATGCAAACTAGATGGTGGTTGGAGGTAGTCAACAGGAAACCTTGGACCCGGGTTTCTGCTACTTGGCACTCGTCAGCAAGGTGTACCTGTAATCTTTAGGGAACTGGTACTCCCTGATAGGTTCGATCCCGTGTCACGCAGCTTCACAATCGGAGACGTTACGACTAGGCTATCGCGACCGTGACTGACCTCTTATAGGACTGGGATGTAATGACAATTGACTGATCACTGGGTGGTGATCAATGTCATGTATGTCAAGTCATTCTTAGTGCAGATCGAATGCTATCGATCATGTTGCAATGTGGCCACCAGTCTGGGTGACTCGACACTGCGGGCACTATGCATTGAGATTAGATGGTGGTTGGAGGTAGTCAACAGGAAAGCTGGGTGACACGAGATCGAATCCGCCAGGGAGCACCAGTTCCCTCAAGATTACAGGTACACCTTGCTGACGAGTGCCAAGTAGCACGAAACCCGGGTCCAGGGTTTCCTGTCGACTACCTCCAACCACCATCTAAATCTTAAGACATAGTGCCCGCAGTGTCGAGTCACCTAGACTGGTGGCCACATTGCAACATGATCGATAGCATTCGATCTGCACTAATAAGGACTAGACAAGCATGACATTGATCACCACCCAGTGATCAGTCAATTGTGATTTCATGCAAATTCATAAAAGATTTTAGTCATGTTTTATACACTTTCTTTTGTTCTCGTTTGTAATCTTTGAAGGTCCCATTACCGTAACTGTTTATAAATAGGGAGAGAGGCGGGAGAGGAGGGAGAGGGGGGGAGGGAGAGGTAGAGGGATGGAGGAAAGGAGAGGTAGAGAGAGAGGAGGATAGGGAAATTCTAATATGTTTCATTTAAAAGTAGATAAAGCTTTATATTTCACCTCTTCAAATGAATGTAGAATTACCTCGAGTTTTAAGTGTTTCATTTATTGCCAGTGTTATATATACATTAACATTTATTCAATGAATTATTCATAACATTAATAATTGAGAGTAATCAGTTATGACCTCTATTAATTGCATTATTTATTAAAATAATAAATTATTATATTTAATTTATCCACAATTATTTTTACTTTTAAGTGCCATAGAGAAAAATTTAAAAAATAAAAAAAAACGTTTTCCTTCTTTTTTCACTTAACATCGGTTTTCAATCACATAAAACGATAAATATTTGACCACCATTGGAAACCTGGAAGCAATGGATGGCCATCTCGTCCTATTGCAGGACTCCACAGCAGTGAGCATCTACCATCCCGCTCGCGGGATTTGAACCTAAGGTCTTCAGTCGTGCGCGTGAACATTCAACCTACTGGACCACTGAGCTGGTATCCAATGGTTTTAGTGTCTAACCTCAACCAATCCACGAAATTGAACGAAACGTCCACCATTGTCATCAGTGGGTTAATATCTCACAACAGACCCGTTGAACTCCACTGGGCACTACTTCACACTAGAACTTCAGGATATACATCTTGAAGCCAGTCACTAGTGAGCATATGTTGATTAGTATCAGAAGGGGTTTTGTGGAGATTTCAGTAAATTCAATAGTTGAAATTATGAGTCACTTGAGGATAGACCCCCATAGAAAGCCTGGAAGTTAGCCAGTAACATGGTTGGATGCCGCCTCAGTGGTTTAGAGGTTAAGCACTCGCGAAAGAGACTGATAGATCCTGGGTCGGAATCTCGCCAGGCGGGATCATGGATGCGCACTGCTGAGGAGTCCCACAATAAGACGAAACGGCCATCTTGTTCTTCCAGGTTTCTCATAGTGATCTAGCTTCAATGGACTCACGATCTAAACTATTTAGATGGATTAATTGTGATGTTAAATTGGTTGTTATAATCTTTAGCTTTAAATAGTGTATTATTTTTTTAATAATATACAACTGATGAATTGTTATTCGTTGTAATTTCTTAATCTATTAAAGAATTTACATGATTATGTTGATTTAATGAAGGTTAAATGGATCTAAATGAGGCTTTTATTCTAATGTAATACTGATTCGAGTTTGTACAATCAGTATATTTTTGACTTATTTCATGGAATAACTTTAGTTAAACAATTATTGAAAACTAAGAAGTAGTGGTATAGCTCTCATATCGTAATATGGAACTTTATAGCACTGAATGTAAACAATTGTGATAAGAATTAAATCCAGGAACTACCTGTTTTATGGGCTGTGCATATCGTTTAGTTCTGTTTCGTGAACTCAATCGGTATGTGATACTCTACGTTCATTATCTATTTCGTTCGTCATACTTATTTCATGGCTGACATATTTGATATCTAGCGGTTTCTTGTTTAGCCATTAGGAATTGTGGAATACTTTCGGAAGTTATTCAAATATGATAAATTCTAACCACCATATTGGGATCTTAGGATTTATCTCTTCAACTTTAGTGAATTCGTGATATGTTGTTACTCTCATAATAATCTAATAGTTAATAACTTTGCTCAAAATAGCTAATAACTGATGCTGGTATATTAGTTGAATACATTCATATATTACTCTAAATGTTATATTTTTTTATTATTCACTCCAATTTGATAAATCTTTTGACTAAACGCTTGAATCGGTTTCCTAAGCTCTTCTAATAACCATAGGCTAACTCTACACGGCAACTTGAACACAAGAGAATAAGGTATTTATAGCATTTTATACGGCCTTGGGCTTCTGGAAAGTTCTGGAACCCCACGAAACATATTAGTAGGATATGTAATCATACAATCAGAAATGTGACAAGTGATTTTTCACTTTCTAGATGTTTTTGAGATACTTCTATTTAATACTGATTGAATAAAATGTTTCCTAGTGCTTTAAGGGCCCCTTTGAGCTTTTTTACAGGAACTTTAAAGGTCTCCCCAACATAATTTCGTTCAACCTCACTTTTTTTTCTCACCATGCTGATGTAGGATACAACAGCGTGTACTGAGACACATTCTTACTGGATCTTACGAAATCTTATAGGTATTAAACTCCCATTACTATATAATCTCGATGATAGGCTTTCATGTTAGTTCCAACTTCCGCGACTTCACGGTTCTTTACCTTTCAACTCTTTTCCATGTTTTTTTTCCTATGTGCATTTATGAAGAAGGATCTTAAAGAGTAAGACTGAATGACATATTCTTTTTAAAAAATACATTCCAATGGAAAGCAACATAATTTACTATATTTGTTACATTGTTTACAGTTGCTGCTTTTGCCAATATAAATAGTATGTCATACAAGCTTGATACCATTAGTTGACATTCTTCCGTTTATTGTTAACAAATTATAACAACTTCTAGTACCGTGAATGATTACTTAAAATAAATTGTCACTATTATTTGAAATTGATTTCATGAAATTGATATGACTTTTAAACAATGATAGCTCAGCAACGATGGATAGTGGCTAGAATTGGAATCCAGGACGCGCGTTTCGTCCAACTCGAGACTCGTCAGCTGGGTGTACTCGCATCCGAGAATTGATGTTCACTCCGGGACAATAGCTTAAATCATTTTTTGATAAGGTCTCAAAAAGAAAGACTCAACGTTTTGATAGAGTTTGATTTTTCAAATAGTTGTCAATACGTCTTAAATAGGATTACCAACAATTATGAAATTATAACAGCACACATCTAGATTAAAGATGACAGATTAGTTTCGAATTTTTAAAGGGATTCCTTTTACCTTAGGCTTTTACCATATACATACATCATCAATACCTCGTGAAATGCACTTTGAATAGTCATATTTACCAATACCATTAATAGACCATTTTAAATAAAAGGTATTTTGTAGATCTAGTATAATCAAGGGTACAATGAAATAATGAAAATCATTTTTATTATTCTTTACATGCCTTTTTCTCTATTAACTGATTCATTTGGTACTTGAACATGCGTTACACGCTAAGTGTGAGCGCTAATGATACGATCCAATTACCTAAAATGAATAAGATAATGAGTGGTTCCAACATAGGACTCAGTGGTTGATGGTCATACGCGATAGCGCCTGGACCACCCTTCCTTTTTCTATGAACTAATATTATTTTAATGAGTTTTAACTCAATAAAAGCTTATCAACTGATGATATACACTGATACAAAATAATATGTCATTAAAATTCCGTTCTTGTGGTAAATATCTATCGAGACTAGCGCCATTTAGATGATATTACGTCCACTGAGTTAGGCTACTTAATTATTAACTTTACATTGTTTTTCTCCACAACATCAGTGGCATAAACTAAAGATAGAAGTAAGCTATCCAATCAACAAACAAAGAGGACAGCACTCTACCAAAATCATCCATCTCAGCTAAAAATTCAATCGATTTGAGTTACATTATTAATCTATGTGGACTAACGATAGATTTATTTTGGATTACTGCCTAAATATAACATCCTTTCCGAAAGTCAAGATACTATTTTGAGTTAAGCTTCATTTATTTAATAAGTAACTATGGTAAAAATTGTATTCACAATTCCTTGTATATCATCATTACTTTTTTCATAAAACAATGTTCATTTATAGTTGATAGAATTTTCTTCATTTTCATTTATATTTCAATGATTTCAGATACCTACATCATCACCGTCATCAGTTGCGATTCAACCAAATGAAGATGATTCGCGAAAAGTAACAATTTTAATATCTTTATCATCTTATTTCATACCGTACTTTGTGTATATGATATAGGGTTAGATAAATCAGATTCAAGATGCTGATTTGAAACGTTAGTGGATATCATTTACGAGATTTAGCTATTAGAATCCTGATAACAGTTTTTCTAGTCTGTGTATACTATAGTCTAGCGTCCTAGGCTTTAGCCAATGGTACATTAACACCGACACGATTAACCTTGAGTGAAGGCTAACATACGCTTTATCCCTTCTGCCCCGTTGATTTTCTGCCTTGAGTCCTAGAAGGAAATAAAGCAACCAAGCTTTTAGTATTATTATCTGAAGCACCGACGGCTCTATATACAGGCAAACCAATCTTGATGACATCATGATATACACAACCATACCAAAAGTAGCAGTGAAAACGGATAAGATATAGACAATGAATTCACTGCAAATTATAAGACATGTAGCATTTGTTAGGAGTTCAACTATAAACTTACAGTAAACAGAACATAGTGATCCAGTTATTTATTATATATTTAATAACATTTCATAAAATAGTCTCGAGGGTTACCATTTCGTCACCCTGGATTGTGCTACATCATGCAGTATAAATGAAATGGAAATACTTACCCCTTATTGGATATTTTCAAAATGGTTTATTAATTATGTATTTACGCAAAAAATTTCTCTGGTAAACTAACTCGTGAAACTGACAACAATAGATGCTGCCGAAATGAGGGAATAAACGTCAACACATGGTAAGATTAAAATTTATGGATAGCCTTAGAACGATGTTAAATCGATATTGAGAATATTCACCTACACGCTAGGGATCAATAGAGGGTTATAGATTAATGTAAGGAATTAGGATTCGGATTTAGGGTTAGAAACTAGAATTAGGGTTTTTATCACGAACAGACGTCAACTCTACTGCCAAAATGCCATTCAGCCATACAGATGAATAAACGTCTAGGCCAGAACTCAAGACTTGCTGTCTTTAATTCTAGTGGTTCATCCGTAAGTTACAGTCTGGGTTTACCCATTCTAAGTTATTTTTTGTGAGAAATAATCCCACTAGTTATTCATTGAATAAAATAGACATCTATAACCATTGCGTCCAATCTGGCTGATGTAAGAGAGTCAATGGCGGTTTAATGGTTCCAATATTTCAAAAAATGTTTGCTCACAAACCACAATTTAAAAAAATCATTAGCTGACATGATTGAAGAAAGAGACCTCCAAATATACGATGATGGTAATATGAAGCAGGAAATACTAACAATGTTAACTATTATCACCTCCATAAAGATTGCATAACAAAACTATTTGATGCAATACAGATAAATTCTTCATCTATTTTGATCTAAGATATGAGAGAAATGCTTAATTGTTCCACAGCTGGTTATAATTCATGATGAGTTCCAATTTCATATGTTAATACGTTTTCTTACGAGTAGTTTTCAAACATAGTGAAGTGAAACATTTGTTTTAGTTTTAATGACTTCAAATGAAAACCGTAATAAAACTGCTTGATATATTTGAGCGTCAGAGGGCTCAGATTATTTGGTTTCTTTGATACTACCCCTGACAATACTGTTCTAATTCATATTTCTGTTATAACTTTAGCTATCATCTGATTTGGCTGTTGCCATTTCTAGTTTGATAGTTTCTTTGTGTCGCAAAGTCAATGGATGTTATTATATTGACAGAGTTGTTTCATTTCAGTTTTCGACTTGTGTTCAGAATAAAACGTTACCTTGGAAATCCCATCTTCCCTATAACATATTGAATTCTTGATTATTAACGTTGAAGTGTTGTGGTTTCATTCTTTATTTAATTGAGTCTGCCAAAGAATATATATGTATTAGAATGAACTTAGCTATTCCGTAACTAGCGAATACCATAGGCCTATTATAGAGCCTCAATTTCAAAATATAATAATTCGTCATTTTCATATCTACTATCATGTCAATCACAATAGGTTGTAAATGATAAGTCTTTTAGTTGAACGCTAGATTTGGTTTCTAAGCTCTTCTAGTAACCCCTAGGCTAGATCTGCATAGCAACTTGAACACAAGAGAAAAGGCGCGAAGTATGGTAAAAACGCTTTACTCTAAAGGTTCGTTTATGTAGCTTTTTAGACGACCTGAGGTTTCCAGAAAATTCTGGAACGCTACTAAACATAGTACCAGTATAGGTAATCGTCCAATCAAAAACCCAACATGTGACTCTTCATTTTCTAGATGTTTCTGGCAAAAATTCTAGTAAATGCTGGTTAAATAAGATGTTTCTCAGAGTTTTTGGAGCCTTTGTTGACTTTTTTGAGGAGTTTTCTGGATCATTCCAACAGTAGACACGTAATATTATTGATTGGCAATAACTTACAGTCCCTAAGAAAACTTCAATCTTTACGCAGTAATTTCAATTAGTTCCCTAAAATATAATCAGTATTACGTAAATTCATTTATAATTCTATGAAGAAAAAAACATTTTATACGTGAACAGTAACTTTAATCTCTCATTACCTTATGACCAGTTTCTATTTTTCTCTCGCTAACTACAAAACTTTCTATGTTACCGTCTTGAGAGAACTTGAACCAATACATATATATCAGATTATACGTTAACTATGACTGACTAATCCCAAGAGTCTGATGTTATATTAATTGACAAATAATGACCAGTACTACTTATTACCTTTGTTAAATATCTAACATTCTAATGACGTATTGTATTCACTGAGTTGGGATACAATTAAATGCTTAAAACGTTAATCATATATACGTAAATATATAAAATATATCAGAAGGTTTTTTGTAGATATTATGGTAATTTCAATGTTTGAGATCACGAGTCAATTGAAGCTAGATCACCATAAGAAACTTGGAAGCACTGGACGTCTGTTTCCTTCTATTGTGGAACTCCTCAACAGTGCGCATCAACGATCCCGCCCTACAAGATTCGAACTCAGGACCTATCAGTCTCGCATGCAAGCACTTAACCTCTAGACCACTGAGTCGGTATTCAACGGTATTAATGGATAACTTCAACCAATCCGCGCGCGAGACCGAAAGTCCTGAGTTCGAGTCCCACGTGTGTAATCGTGAATACGCATTGCTAAAGATTCCAATACTAGGACGAAAAGGCCATCCATTACTTCCAGGTTTTCAATGGTGTTCTAACATTCATCCATTCATTATATCAATCTAAACTCAACAATTTCCACAACTCCATACATTTTTAATGAAAACTACATCGTACTAGTTAATATTCACTGAAAGTTACACTGAGTAATGCTTAATATGCAATTATTATCATTGTTTTGCATCAATCTAAATACAGGCTTTTATATGCATATAGTCAATGAAAATTTTGACTTTAATAAATCATAATGAGGTCAGAATCACTACAGTTGTCAAACAGAGTTTCATTAAGAAATGAATATATCAAGAAAAGGTATGAAGAAAACAATTCAGCCGACCAATATTTGTTTTTATTGCACATTACTTTATTAACTAATCAGCTAGTAATATCAACATCATTCAACAATCACTACAAACACCACATACTGAATATTATCATATACTCACTAGTCATTAATTAAGAGAAGGTAATTCCAATAATCTACTAAGAAACAGTGATCAATCGGGTACAACTGTGTCAGATGTGTGACAGTTATCCATTGAACACAATTAAAGATGATCATGCAATATCAAAAATTGACTTAAGTTAGAAATGTACATCATTAGATGGGAACTGTCGTGATAAAATCAAACCTCCTATTTTCTATCTGAAGTGGATTTATGGATGAACATTGTTGCGTAGTTCGATGGTAGGACAAAGCAGATATCGGATACTTTCAAACTTCCAATGATTATCTACTTTAGGCTGTTGTTTTCTATACTGAGATGAAATTGTTTCAGTTTTAATGATATGAAATAAAACTTGATTTTTCAGCAATATCCTTTAATTTTTATTGTACAAAGAAAAATGTTTATTCATTAAAGAGAAAGAATGTATTTGCAAAATCTCAGCGAAAGTAAATCCAATGTTCCACCTGAAAATCTGGTTGAAACATTTTCAAGTTATTCCTTTGAAAAAACTTGGACCAGATTGCCGGGCAAAATGTTGGATTTACTTCAAATTCTTTCGCTGAGATTTTACAAATACAACATTCTTCTTCTTTAATGTCTCACATCAACTCAGTGCGCAAATACTGTGGAAACTATTCGATCAGTTTTTATCTGAATGTTATTCACCTATTCAATCTAGTGGATAAAGTACATGGAAAGACGATATCTTCTATCATAAATGTTTCATTGTTTCAATCCCCTAAACAGCATTTTGTTTTAAAATAATCTATTATTGATGAATATAATTTTTTTCTTCAGCTGAATAGATTTCTCTTAACAGAACAAATTTTCTGTTATTTGGACAATAGAGAACAAAGACTTTCGTTTGTCCGTAATATAAAAATATATAACACTCAATATTGAGTAAAACTGACCCAAAGTCTTCATTTCAATTGTCTTAAACATCAAAAGAAATAAATCAATAGCTAAAACTCTATCAGCTTTATCCTATGTAAATAAATGAAAATATTTTAAGCTAAATAACAATCAATGAACAAGTGTAAGACTGCCTACACCTATCACTCAGTCAGTCCGTCAACTACAACGTAAGACCAGGCACATATATGCATCGCTTCAAGTTGTCATGCTTCATTAACACAAAAAGATGGACACCGGATTCATGAAAGTAGTTACTTCAATGGTGGTAATATATGAAAGTAAGATTGTGTATAAGGACATAGTGCAGGAAGAAAGAATTACTTGGTAGAAAGAAAGATATGAAGCAATTTTAATCTCTTAGTTTAAGGGAAGATAGAGAGTGTATACACCGACACCATTGTGGTGGATTCTGAGCCATGTTACCAAAAGTCTGCAACCATTAGTTACGATAGTCACGCGGACCTCAACCAAGTAATCTGTATCTACCAACATGACTAAGACTAGAAGTTAGTGACATCAAGCACTGATGCCACGTTTTGGTTTGGCTGCCCCTACACCTATAATAACGAATAGTTCATCTTCATAGGTGTATTGTAATATATGCGATAAACTCTAAAAATTACCCTTTACTCATAGTCCTGCTATAGCGCCCTCGTAAGAGTGGTGGAAAACAAACCAATTGATTATAAGTAATTTGTGATAATATTATTTCATAATTTGAAGTTAGATAGTAACGCCATTAGATGATGGTTCAGTGGTTTAGAAGTTAAATATTCACACACGAGAACATAACTTTTGGGTTCAGTTTCTAGTCGTATAGTCGTAGATGTACTCTGCTGGAGGGCTTCATACTAAGACGAAACTATAATCCGGTTCTACCAGGTTTTCAATGGTGGTCTAAGAAAGAATAATTCGCGATTTCACAAACCCTTTATCTTAGTAGTAATAAAAGGCATAAAATAAGTCCACTAATAATATAAAATTAATAATCTAGTGAATAATTATCCAGGTATGACTTTTCTATCATCTCTAAACAAGTGCCTGTATAAGAAATGATTCCAATGCCCTGATATTAATCAGTATAAGGTTACAGAAATTGTTAAGTTTAGATTGATATCATGAATGGATCAATGTCGACTACCATTGAGAACCTGGTTGCGCTGGACAGCCGTTTCATCGTAGTATGGGACTCCTCATGTGCTCGAAAATGAATAACTTCAAGTTGAATTCCCTGGAGTTCTAGTGCGAAGCCGCCACCAGTGGAGTTCAGCCCGTGTCGGTTGTAAGAAAGTTATCTACTTCAGACAATAGATGAAGGGTCATGCAAAATCATGGATCACTTAAAGTCAGATAGTAACACTGTTAGTTACCGACTCACAGCTCTAGAGATTAAGCGCTCGTGCATGAGAACGAAAGTACTTGGTTCCAGTCCCACGAGCGGGATCGTGGATGCACACTGCTGAGAAGTCCCATACTAGAACGAAACGGCTGTCCATCGCTTCAAAGTTTTCAATGGTGGTCTAACATTGATCCATTCATGATATCAATCTAAGCTCTGATAACACCACATCATGACTAATCATTTACCTGGAAAATAAATAATTAAGCTTTATACTGACATACGTATAGATTTCAGTGATATGCTTGAAGACATTAAAATTTAGCTTAGTTAACCAAATCTCTACGTTCGTAAAAGTTTGGACACCTCCTCTTATTCATCTTATCTTTAAAATGGTCTATACTTTCATTTATCATTACTGTATTAAAGATTATATTCACGATGGTCAATATATAAATGAAGCGTTATGTTCTTTTCTATTCATCATACTTGTCGTCTGTGTACTCTTATATAACTCTTTATCTTTGTTTGTACATAATTCTTGCTATTTTACATCACTTAAAAAGATCTTTCAGTGAGACTATAATTTATTGACGACCTTTGACCGATGCTAAACTGACCTTGAGAGTGTCCACGTAATAAATAGAACCAAATGAGGGTTATAAGCTTGTGCGAGGAATTACAGTGATGTTTACAGTTGATGATGGTTAAGGTTAGGGTTTTCATTACGAGCTGACCTCATCTATAATGAAAAAACTTTATTTAACCACCTGAATTAGTGAATTTCGTGCCGAAATTCGAGATTTGCTATCTTATACCTGAGTGGTTTGGCCATAAATTATAGTCTCGCCGATATTTCTAATTATTTCGTCATTTCACTGGTTGAAATCATGAGTCAATTGAAACTAGACCACTATGGAAAACCTGGAAGCATACTAGGACGAAACGGCCATCCAGTGCTTCCAGGTTTTCCATAGTGGTCTAGTTTCAATTGACTCATGATTTCAACCAGTGAAATTTCTAAAAATCTCCACAAAACCCATTCTGATAATATTTCGTCATTTTTGAATTTTATGCCAACTTGCTTCATTTCATTTGAACATTTTAATGACGCCATTCCTAATTCACTTTTCTAATGGTCGTTCAGATCCTATGCGAATTGCCTTGATATTGCTTCAAGTCACCAGCATTATAGGCAGAGACAGATCGTGACTATCAGTGGAATCCATGGCTATCACTAATTGTTGACATAAATAAAAATAACTCAGAACTTGTATACCATTAAGTAACTTACTATTAGTTTATTATTACTGATATGATGAATCGAACTAAGATATCCACTGAAGTACTGAAAGCATTGGGCATTGTTTAGTTCATTGGAATTCATTTCACTAAATTAATGATTAGTTAGTATACGATGTATGATGTTTGTAGAAATAATTGAATCTTATGGAAATCATGAATTATTATAGTACAAGATTATACATTTAAACTTTTATTATAATTCTTGATATAATACTATTCATATCAGAAGAGGTTTTGTGAATATTATAGTAATTTCAATAGTTGAGATCATGAGTCAATTGAAGCTAGATCACCATAAAAAACCTGGAAGCACTGGACAGCCTCTTCGTCCTACTGTGGGACTCCTCAGAATCCCTCATCTATAATCGCACCTCGCGAGACTACCTGTTAAAAATTAATTCAAGGTGTATGCAAGATTTACTGCTCTCTGCTTATTTGTGCTTAATAAATATCTAATAGTCTTCTTTATGAAAGAAAATATTCTTTTTTATGTATATTATTACAAGGCACAATAGAATACTTATAATCTTGTAGTAGCTGGCCCCATGTCCAGCCCAAATAGCTTATTCTAGCTTCCGGATAGACCAATTTATTCATTCGTCTTAAATCACTTTTAACCTTGTTAATAATTCGTTTCGCTTCGTTTAGCCTTTGCCTTGCTATGCTTCACTTCGTTTCGAAATGACTATAAATATTGAGTAACGCTTAAGTAAAGTAAGTTGGTTAACATACATTCTTCAGTCCTTTTCGTTTAGCATTCTTCTCTTTGCCATCTTTGTTTCGTTTCTTTGGTCATCTCTCTGGATCAATGGTTGTACAAAATATACGTATTCGAAGTCCATTCTCTCATTTAACTTATTTAGTTCTGTTATTCGCTAACGTGATTTAAGTTGATTACTATATGTAAAGGTTGGCGACATGCATAAGTTGATAACGATAATCATACGACCAAACTGGAGTCAGATATTACAGGACCACTAAAATCTAAGTATAGGAGTTCTGTCTTAGTATTAAAATTAATTACTAAACCTCTTAAACACATGTCTTAGATTCAGTATTGTTAACCGATTTCATCTAATTATAATGGGTGTTTAATGCATTGAGATGATTTCAGTTCGTTTAAGTTGTGGACTAGATTAAAGAATATGGTTTATTATATTACATCAAGTAATTAGTTTAACTTATGCGCTTTACCAACAGTAGGTTACTTGCAAATAAGGTCATATATTCATTCAACATAAGTTCAGGTAATAAGAGAAATAATTTTCATATATAACATCACATAATAATCTTACTTACATTATCAAACAAATCCAGAAAATACCGGAAAGTTGTTTCGTCTTAGTACTGAGGTATACATCCACGACCTCATCTCTGACCAAACTCAAGCCCTTTAGTTTTGAGTACAAGCAATTGATTTCTAGACCACTTAACTAGAATATCACGAAGTGAATGAGTTTAGACATTTTCATGATTGAATTCTGGCTCAGATTGCACGCTAGATTGAAATACTGATAAGATGCTTCCTAGTTATCAATGGTGCTCCATGCTGTAAATCATAAAACATTTAGTAATTTCCACTAAACGTCTTTATGTGTATGAAAAAATTGACAGTCACATATTACCTATCAAATTTAATACAGAATATATTTAATAATCAGTTATTACAATGGGGATTTTAATTTCCTCCAATTCAGATTATTACAAGCTGTGTTAAGCCATATAACATACATCTATGATGATGTAATGAAGTCAAGATCATAAACAACTGTTTGTTTTTACTTTGTATTCATCTATAATATGAACTGAAATGATTAATACATTCTCATTATACATACGTCTGTACCAAATGAAAGATTTATCTAATTATAAATACAATACAATTGAATAATTCTATCTTGTAAACTCTCTTCGTTGATATGGAGAATAAAATAACTTTTAATAGTTGAATTTATGAGTCGGTTTAAATTAAACCACTATTGAAAATCTGGAAGCACTGGATGGATGTTTCGCCCTAGTATGGGACTCCTCAACAGCATGCATCCGCTATCCCGCATGTTGGCCTCAAACCCAGGACCTTCGGTTTCGTGATTAAACGCTCAACTTATAGACCACTGAACTATCTAAATTCGACTCATGAATTCAATAATTAAAAAAATTACTACAATTTTCACAAAACCTCATTCTGAAAAAGCATCCATAGAGTTTCTACCATTATTACAATAACAATGTTCCTATGTATTTATTTTTGATCAGTTACTTGAATTCTTTGATGAATAAAATTTTCTTCATTGCCATTATTTATATTGAAAATAACTGATCTGGGTTTTCCAGTTGCTTAACATTCTTTCTCCTTACATCTCCTCGCTTTCTCTTTGTTACTTCGATATATACATATATATTTTTTTCTAGTTATACGGTGTCAGTTATGCACTGACTGCATTCGCTGGTCAGAAAATTCATAGCAGTCAACCGATTAGGTATGTTACTTGTTTCTTTTTTCAATTTAAATATTTTGCCTCCAGAAACAATACTGTAATGGTTAGTTTGATCGATTTAGAGTTAATCTTCTTTACAGATTGGTAATAATGTAACTGATTCACCTAATGAAGGTTTATATACACACTAATGATCCGAACTATTTATTTTTCTTAAGTTTAAAAAATCTGGGTGCGACTATAATTTATGGACGAAGTTCCAGTGACTCTCAACTGTCCTTGAGAGTGTTCACTTAGTAACTAGGACAGAATGGGGGTTATAGACCAATGTGAGGAATTAAAATTGTGCTTTATAGTTGATGGTTAAAATTAGGAATTAGATTTAGGGATTTCATGACGAATTGATATGAGCTATAATGCCAAACTCTATTTAACCAAATGAATGAATGAATTTCGCGCCAAAATCCGAGACCCGTTATCTTATACCTGATTGGTTCATCTATAAATTGTTGTCTCGCCAACTAATTGCTGCTGAAGAATTGTTGAAAAAAATCAGGAAGGACCAAAATGTAACTCGGTATAAATATGTCTATATTCAGGTTCTACACTATGAAACATGAAATAATTCGATCATTTTTAGTGCAGGAAAACATTAAGTAACATTATCAGCACTCTGGAAGTCTACACTTTTGAGTTAAGCCAATTCGCGGCGTTGTATAAATATTGTCTGATTTTATTGATACACCATCCAATCAACCTGAATTTAACAATAATTAATTTATTGAACAAACGCTTATTACTATTATGGTGTGTGCTACTGATGTTGACCGATATCAGTAGTATATATCCTCAATCAAAAGTGAAACACCTAGGGGCAGAAGGTTGAGAAGATTGAAGAAAAGATAACGAGAACAGGGAATGATTGGTGTGGAAATGAACGAACAATAAAGTCTGAGACGATTTATTAACATTTTGTAAATGAATTATTTACTGTATGGTTCTTGCATTTTACTAAGAGAATCTACAATTCAGTGTTCAAATACATTTGGTTGTCCCTACTTGTATACTCGTTCACTACACTATAATTCCTTTAAATTTGTCATTGAAAATTATTCGTTGGTATTTTTATGTTCCAGAACTTTTTTTGTAAATTAGTGATAAATCACACTATTGTAATAAATCATGCTAATTGACAACTATGGGACAGATTAGAAACGAAAATTGTTTAAAATCTTGAAAGAGTACCTAATTAATTCTCTCATATTTCATACGTTATTTAATAGAGAACTACTTTGCAAAAAGATTCCTTGTTGTTCAGGAATGAGTTAGTAAATGGAAACATGAAAAATCACTGTGAATGACAAAATAAATGACTCCTGATGAACAATCTTGAGGCTTTTGTGACGCGCTGGCTGTTAAACTGACCTTTCTGGTTCCAATCTTAATATAAACATAACCATTCAAATATTGTTACTTCAATGAGAGACATGGTAAATCTAGGACAGTTGTAAGAGGGTTAGTTTAAAATAGATAAACCCAGCACCGTTCATTTCAAACACAGAATAGATAGCATACCGCAAACAGTGGAATCCATAATGTGCGTTTTGCCCTATTTAAGACTCATCAACTAGATGTATCTGCATCTCAGAGTTGATGCTGCTAGCCACATTTCATTAGTTCTGTATAAACTTATGTCATTAATGGCCATATCGAAGCGATCCTAAAAGAATACAAATGCATCAACCAAAACTGATCAAATTTTAGTCAAAAATTACCAACAATGAGATAATTTAAATCATTTCAAATTGAATAAATTCTATAAGATTACGTATGATGCAAATTGTTCAACTATCTAGTTATAATATTCCCATACTTTTTAATATGTTTACCTATTCTTGATTATACTCTAGTTCCACTGTAACAATTGTTCTAAGAAGATATATTGCTGGACCTAAACTGATCAATCGTCCCTTATATCCAGTAGCTGAATCAACTAGAAAAACAATCAATTTCTTATGTTATTCAGGAGAAGTGGTTCTTACAGCGTCTGTTGAAAAACCAGTAAATATTATCTTTCATCGTCCGTTTCTTTATAGTAATGTAATGTTTAAGAAAAGATTGACAATGACTAACAGTGGAATCCATGACGCGCGTTTCGTCCTATCTGGGTCTTATCAGCTGGATGAACCTGCATCCCAGAGTTGATGTTCACTCCGGGACTCAAACCCAGTACCGTACGCTTCAAACGCCATCGTGTTATTCACTTAGCTACGGAATGAACATCAACATCCAGCTGACGTGACCCAAATAGAGCAAAACGCGCGTCCAGCTGGATTCCACTGCTAGCCACTATCCATCTTTGTTTAAAAAGCTTGTGAATTAAGACTATATCGATGCAATTCGCACAAGATGCATATATGCCAATGAGAGACTGATCAATTGCAATCCTAAATAACAATAGGAAGATACAAGTAAAACAACACCAAGTGAATTCAGTGTATAGTTTTTTTTCGAAAACAGCACTCAAATACCAAATAAACAATAACCTATTTATTGACGTAAGACTATAGTTCATTTTATAAGTAAATCTGAGAATCAATGTTATTATTTCGTGTTGAACAAAATCAGGTGAATCATTCATCTTAGTCTTAGTAAATTTATTCCCTACTTATTTAATCTAGGTCATAATTTTCGTATTATGATATAAAGACAAGGTTCTAAGGTATAAGAAATACTTCATCCATGGAATATTTAACATCAATTGGGAATAAATTAATATTAACAATTGTACTCAGACTAACACCGTAGTGACTGTCAGAATATGTTGCTTGTCATGACTTGAACTATAGATTTCGAGATAAGCTATTGATTTCTTTTAGTTGAATGCTGACATTTTTCTCTAAACCATTTCATTATCTTCTTTCAAAAAATCTCTTACTAAAGAGATTAAATCAAACTAAATAGTTATATTATTTTGTGAATAAAAACAGTTGTTTGTTGACTGATGGTTCAGTCAGTCAGTCAGCTACAACGCAGGACATGATACATATATGCATCGGTCTAAGATGCGACACCTCATTAGCACAACAATATGAACACCAAATTCATAGAAGTAGTTACTTCAATGGTAGTAATATATGTAAGTAAGATTGTGTATAAGGACATAGTACAGGAAGAAAGAATTAGTTGGTAGAAAGAAAGATGTGATGCAATTTTAATCTCTTAGTTTAAGGGAAGACTGAGAGTGTATACACCGACGCCATTGTGATCGATTCTGAGCCATGTCACCAAGAGTCTGCAGCCATTAGTTACGATAGTCACGCGGACCTCAACCAAGTAATCTGTATCTACCGACATGACTCAGACTAGAAGTTAGTGACATCAAGCATTGATGCCACGGTTTTGTTTGACCGCCCGTAACTTTCTTGCATCCGACTCCAACATTAGTGAGCATTACGCGTCGTGGTAATTGATGTTGTTGCTACCTTGAAGTGGTGGTCAGGCTTGCCAATCGTGATGAACCAATTGAGCTATACTGGCTAGAACAATTGTTCCTCAAGGTCCTACCATGTCAGACAGGTTGGTTGAAGAGCGGCAAGACTGAAAGCAACAAACCCAAGGTTCGATGGCGAAGTGGTACTTCTGACTGTATAAAGGTGTGACGGTAATATGGTGTTTTCTTCAGAATACCAGCATGACAGCGATGTTGCCTTCCCACAAGGAGGGGTGGGGTTAGAAAAGGTCGATCCTAAAAATGCACATCTTGTCTTATCCCACGGATTTCCGTCTCTGGTGGTAAGGTCTCAACAAGTACATAGCTAACAAGAAAATTACTCACTAAAGATCATATGTGATCGGCCTCAAGCAGTTGTCCCTTCGGCACTACGGTCACGCTCTCAGGTCACTAAGACCACTGCTACTCCAATTTCCTTTTCAGGTATTTCTAGAAGTACCTTTTCATGGTGCGGGCAATCGGGAAGTGATAACCGCCCTCATATCTTTGACAGCACACAAGATCACTTTATTCACGTATGATGGTTAGAATTAAGTGATCCATTCTAAACTACACATGAGAATGATTTGTTATTATAATCCTTCTGTTGCTTCATCTTGGTTATTCCTTGTTCACATTTCCTCATGGAACTAGTATAGCTTGATAATAAATCCGTTGAAAATAAACCTGAATAAACTATAATGAATAGATGATCGCATTTTTGAATAGAAGTTTGAATGTCATTTATATTTTAAACAATGAAACAAGTTAATTTTTGAAATGATGGAGAAGATTTGTAGCTCAGGTGGATGATTTTGATGGAGTTTCATTCTCTGAGCTGGATAGTTTAGTCTTGGAGCTTTCAACGTTCTTCTGAACGACATCATCAGCACAAACTTCAGGTAGATGATGTCGTTCATAAGAACAATGAAAGCTCCACGATCAAACCATCCAGCTCAGACAACAGAACTTCATCAAAAATAAGTTGATTATCTTCAACATATATAATATACATAATACAAGATATGTATTATCTTTATTTTTACACGTACATTTTACAGTTATATTATCATGATGAATCAGTCAATGTGTCAATTGTATTGGATAATTTTTCTAATTTATCAGTTAGAAAATTACAAATAGCAAGTATGTTCATCAATTTTATTTGTATATTTAATAAACTTGCGTAGTAATATTATCACTTTCTACCGTCCATACCGCCGCCAACAAGAAAAAAAGGATTAGTATATGTACTTCAAACAACCGATCTGTAGTCTTCAAACTCTACATGTAAAAAATGAGCATGAAAAATGTCTTTAGAATTGAATTCTAAGGAAGTTTAAAGAATTTAGTTAGAAACTAGATCTTAATGAAATATTATCCAAGAGATAATGGTATATTCATTTGTATATATCGAATTGAATATAACCTACCAAATAGCATGATTGAATTAGTATCTGTCTTTTGTTTTCTTAAAAGTCACATATAGAATGTCAACGGTTATTTCACAAAAGTAAATTCACTCTAAATATATTCGTTTCTTTCTGATAAACATTTCATTATTAGCTTTAAACTTACATTATTACCACCATATACTAATTAAGCTTAAATAATCATTGATACTAGAGGACATCGAACAGATGTTTTTTTGTATGCTTAATAAAAGCAGACAATAGCGATATATAATACCTTCAGTTCTAATCGTAACCTACGGTATAAGTGTAATTGGAATCTGAGAAGTGAATCACTGATTATAAGGTTTTAATACAGGAGTGAGGAAAGTCAGCTCTCCCTCTCGAAATGCTCTCACGTGTTCACGCGTATACAGCCACTACCAGGGAAATGCTACTCACTACCTTCTTTCCTCGAGGGTTTCGTTTACGAAATTGAGAGGATGAAAAACGAATGTCCAGCGCTTTAACCAGGTTAAGGGATCTAAAAGATCTACCTAGTTGGAGTTGGAAAACCTTGATTCCAAATCATTGGGCACATGAGTTCCAGGATTCTTAGGGAAGTATGAACCTATCGTTGGTCACTGGCTACCATTGGACTGCATCTCCTGACGTTGTTCCACTGCCTTGTGGATTAGACCTCTAGGTCAAAGGCTCCGCGTGTGACCCATAAGAAAACCTCCTGCTTCGATTTGAGTACCAAGGCAGTAACTCAGCCGTCACACAAATCGAATGATTTATGTGACACATATCTATTTGGTGCCTCCTTGCACCAATGTTTATGTGTTTAAATGAATATACAAATTGTCTTAAGACAATTCTGTATCATAATTGAGTTTTAAAATATTAAACCTCACAATTTTCATCTAAATTAGTCATTGATTTTATGTACACCACATGATCTAAAAAAAGGGTTTAGAGCTGGAACTAGTTGTAGTTTGTCACTGACAATAAGAAAACAAATCTGTCTAGGTCTCTATATTCTTTCTACAATGGTTTTTATGCTGAGTGCATCTTGGATTGTGTGCTTTTCATTGAATTGTAATATTGATCGTACAATTTACTTAGGCAATATTACCAGTATATGCAAGGATTTATAATGACTCGTATGATTTATTTGCTTATTATTTGTCTTCGTAAATTTATATTCTTAGTATTTAAATGAGAGTTTTCAATTAATAATTAAACTAAATAAATTTTTCTAAAGTTATATCTTTGTTGAACAGTTGCTATACCCAATAGATATCAGTATGACGAATGTATGATAGATATTATACATACAGAAAGAAAGATAACATTTATATTCTGGTTCTAGTCCATTGTTTAACCTTCAATGTAGTGTTAGAAAGAATCAAATTTTTTACTGGACAGTTGTTCAGTAAACCTGAATATTCTATAATTCCCCAATTGATATCTTTAAGTGATAAAGAATAAACTTTGTGTAAATTATAATTTAGATTGATATCATAAATGGATCAGTGTTAGATTATCATTGAAAACCTAGAAGCAATGTACTGTCGTTTCGTACTAGTATGAGACTAATCGGCAGTGCATACCCACGAATAAACACGTGTGACTCGAACTCAGGATTCTCGGTTTCCTACGCGAACTTATAGCCTCTAGACCACTGAGCTGACATCAAACAGTGTTAATTTTTAATTTTAATCGATCGTTGATCTTGAACAACCCTTCATTCACTGACTAGGTTCAAGATGGGTTCCCTGGATCCCTAGTGGGAAGTCATAACCAATGAAGTCTAACTGGTGTCGAGTGTGAGACAGTTATCCGTCTCAGACAAGGGATGAAGTGTTGATCAAGATCATGAATCGATTGAAGTTAAGCAATACTCCCGTTGGATACCGGCTCGGTGGTCTTGAGGCCAAGTGTTCACCTGCGGGACCGAAGGTCCTGGGTTGGAGTCCCACGTGTGTGATCGTGGATGCAAACTATCGAGTAGTCCCATACTAGTACGGAACGATGGTTCCTTGCTTACATGTCTTCAATGGTGGTTAAACATTTACCCATTCATGAAATTAATCTAATCTCAACAATTTCCACAATCCTATACTGATAAATTATAATTGTTATATCTAATCACTAATGAATCTCATATTAAATGTAGAAAAGAGATTTATTTCATAAGAGTCAAAACATCACATGAAAGTTAATGAAATACAATGACTGTCCATCTAGAACCTCACAAACTGAATATTTGAAATAACTTAAATATGAATATCAGTGGAATCGTTTAGCTTGTATGAGATGTGCTTGGTGGTAACGGGTTTCAAGAAAAATCTCTAAGTATCAGTGATTAATAGTGAACGACTGAGTTCATCATTGGTAAATTTAAGATAAGTACTACTGCTAGGGATGATTGCTTACCGATAAGAAATCAATAATTTATCTGAGAAGTGTTCTAGCTCAATAGTATAAAAGCAACATATTCCATTGGACAAAAGTTTTAGATTTGAGCTGCTCCCATACAACGGAATCCTAAACTTGGTGTTTTAGTTAGCATTCATGGACGGACGTAAGCTGCAAAAATAAATTGATGATATTTTGTCGTAGATTTACAATAGCTATTCAGCGGTGGTGTGCCTTAGATTTTAGTTCCCACGGTTCACAGTCTTAAAGTAAATAAATATTTATTTAATAGGAGATAAAGACGATTCAGCGAATAAGGTTTTTTTACGATGATGTCATTTACTTAAGCAGAGTTGGATAGTAACTGGCGGTGGAATCCAGGATGTGAATTTCGTCCTATTAAGGATTCGTCAGCCGGATGTATTTGGATCCGAGTTGGTATTTAGACCGGGAGTCAAACCCAGTATCTTTCGATTTAAGTGCCACTGCATTATACGATTAGTCACTCAGTTCAGGTAGCTACGTGTTGATGGAAACAACTGAATTTGATTTCATTTCTATTGGTTGTTATTAAAAATATAAAAATCTAAAATAAAATAGATTACTAGTATAGGGGTTGGGGAGATTATTAAGTTTTTGATTGAGATCATGAACCGACTGATGTTAGACCGCCTTTGGAAACCTGGAAGCACTGGACGGCCGTTCCGTCCTAGTATGAGACTCCTCAGCAGTGCGCATCCACGATCCCGCACACATCGGTCGAACCCAAGGCCTTCGGTCTTGCGCGCGAACGCTTAACCTACTGGACCACTGAGCCGGCATCCACTGGTGATAGTGTCTAACGTCAACCAATCCACGAAATTGCGCGACTATCTTCCATTATACTGAGGTAGATACCTGTCCCTACCCGACATGGATTATCTCCACTGGTCACGGTTTCTCACTAGAACTCCGAGAATCTCCTCACGAAGCTAGTCACTAGCGAGCACATGTTAATTACTAGTACTGCATCATATAAGATAATGATTGAAAATGTTTCTAAATTTCAAGACTACGTAATAGACTAAAACAGAACCCATATAAAAGTTAACTGTCAACTTAAGAAGTGTTAACAAGTTATTGATCAGTTGTTTGGACTTATCAATTATATAACACAAGCTATGTGTTAATTCACTGACTAATAAAACGATTAATAAAAGATATTGTGGGTTAGAAATAAATGTCCATTAGGTGAATATAAAGAGCATAATAAGTAAATGATATAACAATAGTCAGTCAATAATTATGAAGAAATAATCAAAAGGTATTAACAATATATTAATGGAAATGGAAGACAAAAAAGAGGTTTCAGATAAGATAAAATGCCAAATATGTTGGTTTTATAAACATAGATTAAACCCTTTATAAACAAAGATGGTTGGTGGCTAGCGGTGGAATCCAGGATGCACGTCACGTCCTATTTGGGACTCATCAGCTGGGTGAACCTGGATCCTAGAGTTGACGTTCACTTCACGACTCAAACCCGATACCGTTGGCTTCAAATGCCATCACGTTCTCATAGCCACTAGATTGTTTAGCAGAGTGAAGTCTAAATTCCTTTTGTCTCCAGTTGACGAGTCCTAAATAGGGTGAAACGAGCGTATTGGATTCCAACGCTAGTCACCATTAAACTTTTCTCACAATGCTCGTGACTTAAGACAATATCGGGGCAAACAACATATGCCAATAAGTGACTGGTCGATTGATCAGTCCTAAACATCACTGGGAAGATTCTAACAACCAATACAAAATGAATTTAAACTTCAACCCATAGCACAAGCTGTTGGCTACCAGAACTTAGTAGCTAAGTGGATTTGGCGGTGGCCTTTGAAGCGAAAGGTACTGGTTTCGAGTCGAGGAGTGAACATCAATTGTGAACTACAGGTACATCCAGCTGATGAGTCGCAAATAAGAAGAAACGCGCATCCTGGATTCTACTGCTAGTCAATAATTTTCTTTGTTTATAATGCTTGGAAACTAAGGTAATGTCGCAGCATTGCTCACAGCGTGCATATATGCCAATAAGAGACTAATCAGTTAGAGTTTAAAACATCAATGAGTTTTGCATTTTACATTCCTATCTATCCTTTATCAAAGAAAGACGTAAACTGAACAAAGATTATCATTTGCAATAAGTCTTCAATCATACTAGTTTTCCAAAAAGGATACCCAAGTTCAAGGGAATGAAACATTTTAAATTACATATAAATTTAGATTAAAACTTGTGTTGAAATAATTTGGATATAATGAGAAATTGTAAGATAAATTGAGTATTATTGAAATTCCTTATATGATTGTAAAATTAACAATGGTAACAATAGACCTAATATTACCAATAATAATAATAGTAATAATAGTAATGTACATTTACGTGACGATATTACATACGGGGGTGGCAGAGAAAGTTGTTTGTACATTCTGACTCCCTGTAAACTCTTATAATGTAATTACTTGTTTGATGTGCTAGTAATTACTCAATAAATACTAATGAGAAGATACAAGTAAACAATACCAAGTGAATCTAAACTTCACCCCATCGCACAAGCAGGTGACTATCAGGACTCAGTAGCTAAGTGGATAATGTGATGGCGTTTAAAGCTAATGGCACTGAGTTCGAGTGCCAGTGTGAACATCAATTGTGGGATCTGGCGAGTTCCAATAGGACAAAACGCGCATTCTGGATTCCACTGCTAGCCACCAACTATCTTTGCTTAATAATCAGTTGTTTGTTCAGAATAATTGGACAGTTTCTCTCGTGATTTTCATCTGTTTGTGTACATCATTCTTGTGTTAAGAGTTTGATAAAGATGTTTGCCAATCTTTGTAATATAGATTTACAGTAGAATTAATGACAAACTTTCGTTTTATTTAAATATCTTAAGTTTCATATATCTAATTGTTAATGTAGTTTACTTCCTAGAAAATTTTAAACTTCATCTTTATCCCAAAATCTATAGATGTAGATTAGTCATTATTCCTATTTAAAAAGGTCATTTATATTTCTGTAAAGGATTTTCGGTGAAACTAAAATTTATGGACAACCAAAGTGTCCTTCAGAGTGTCTACCTACTAACTAGGGCTAAATGAAGATTATAAAGCAGTTTGAAGAATAAAGATTATGATTCACAATTGATGATTATGGTTAGAAATCAGATTTACGGCTTTTCATCATGAACTGACATCAACTAAAATGCCAAAATACTATTTAACCAAATGGATGAGTGAATTTCGCTTCAGAATCCGAGATTTGTTATCTTATACCTGACTGGTTCGTCCACAAGTTATATACTCGACGAATTTTCCATTATTTCATGATTTTCTGCAATAGAACAATCAATATTTGTGTCATTAATGTTTTACTTATTCTTTAAAAAAAATTCTAATTAGTTGTTCAAGTTACTGAAATGTACTTACTGGCAAAAGGAACATATCGGTCTACGATAAATGAACATTTATGCAAGTAAGCTATTTTTAATGTGCACTATCTTATTATAAGATTGGATTAATCTTAATGACTTTAACAAAAAAAATTTAGTATCAGAAGGGATTTCGTGGATATTATAGTAATTTTAATAGTTGAATTCATCAGTCAATTGAAGCTAGATCATCATGGAAAGCCCGGAAGCACTGGACGGTTGTTTCGTTCCGCAGTGGGTCTCCTCAGCAGTGAGCATCCACGATCACGTTTCATAAGATTAGAACCCAGGACCTATTGGTCTCGATTAAGTGTTCGCGCGCTAGACCGACAGATCCTGGATTCGGGTCTTGTGAGGTGGGATCGTTGATGCGCATTGCTGAGGAGTCCCACAGTAGGACAAAACGGCTTTCCAGTGCTTCCAGATTTTCCATGATGATCTAGCTTCAAATGACTCATGATTTAAACTATTAAAATTAATAGAATTTGATTTAATTTTAACGAAACTATTTCATTGAATAGTTTCTATAATTGATTATATTACTAACTAATTAGTTTTAAATGTGTGTATAATAGAAATGATGTTTGATTTAGACTATCATGTTAGATCAGCTTGTCAACTGTTCCTTAGAGACGAATCTTTGTGCTAACTAATCATTAATATTTGAATAATTTATTCAGTATTCAACGATTATCAGCTTATAATGATACTTATTTAAACGTTGTGTAGACACTCACCACAAAACCTCTTTATTCAGTATTGATCATATAATCAAATGTACTAAATTTTGGGATATAAATCCTGAAGTTTTAATGTGAAGTGATCAATGAAGATAGACGTAATTGAAGTGAATCAGTAACTCACAGATAATACTGGCTAATAATTATTATATCATGAACTGATCATAGTTAATAATGTAAAGCAGTGGATTTAAATAATGAATTAAATGTAGTGTGCTCATACGGTGAACCTTGACGGTGCTTGACTCAGTTCCAGATGGCATCATATACATAAACTGACGAAACATCCTAAGCGAATATTAAAAACACCTGTCTTCTCCATTGTCGTACAATTAATGTCAATTGAACATCAAAGAAAAAATTATCTTTATTCAAATAAATTTACTCATACTTGTTGTCAATAGTAAGCCGAATGAATATCAATTCTTGGCGACAACTATGATTATTGATTTGACAGGAGAAATGTAGAAAAATTTTTGTTCAAGGGAAAACTTCACGAAAGCCAAAGCATTTCCATGCTACTGTTATCAGTGAACAGACCCATAGACATAAATCTAATCTATTAAGTCAAAAGCCAACCAACAAACTATTGTAACCAATGGTTGGAGATTGGGTGACATGGCTCAGAATCGATCGCAGTGGCGTCGGTGTATACACTCTATATCTTCCCTTAAACTAAGAGATTAAAATGGCTTCATATCTTTCTTTCTACGAACTAATTCTTTCACCCTTTACCATGTCTTTGTATGCAATTTTTTATATATAATACCACTGAGTTAACTGCTTCTATAAATCCGGTGTTCATTTTGACGTGCTAACAAGGTATGGCGACTTGGACCGATGCGTATTTGTACTTGGTCCTACGTTGTAACTGACTGACTGGCAACTAACGCAAATGACTAATACAAGTGCAAAGAAAAATGATGACTACGAAGCCAATGAAAACAGTTACTCACTAAGTATTGAAATAAAATGATATCATACTTGTGGAATAACTAGAAAGTTTACTTCTACATAAAGTGGAGTCTGTAAATGCTGTCCAAAACGACAATGAAAGCAAAATAATTAAATTATCAAACTCGCCAAACACAACACCACCATAAATGTATGGAAAAAATTTCACACATTATTTCTAGCAACATTCTTTATTTCACAAATGATCATAAGAAATTTAGGTAAGGTTTTGTTCTCTGAGCTGGGTGGTATGATTGTGGAGATTTCATCGTTCTTCTGAGCAATATCATCAGCACGAAATTCAAGTAGAAGTGAAATGTTCGAAGTTATCCACATATGAATAAAAAAATAACTAATCAAGATCGTGGTCTACAAGACAAGCTATAAGTCATAAGTGGAGGAATTTGAACATCTCACTCCTACTTAAAGTTTACGCTGATAATGTCGTTCAGAAGAACAATGAAAGCTCCAAAACCAAACTATCCAGCTTAGAAAACAAAACTCCACCTAAATCATTCACATGAGCTATAAATCTTCTTCACCATGTCAAAATTATTAAAAATTATTATCTATATCATTTACTTCATAACTTTAGATTAATTAGTTTATCACATTTATTAATTTTTATATACACTTCGATGAACTTTAGTTTTTTGGTATAAGAAAGTGTTTTCTTTGATATGGTGGAGAACATTTCTAGTTCAGGTGGATGATGTTGATGGAGTTTTTCCTTTGAATAAGATGGTTTGGTGGTGAGGTTTTCATCGTTATTCTGAGCGACATCATCAGCACAAACTTCAGATAGAAGTAAAGCGTTCAAATTTCTCCACATGTGGTTCACAGCCTGTCCTGTAGACCTCAATGTTCATAGGTTATTGTTGACCTTTAACCTGTCATTGTTTACTTCCTTATTTTTGTTTTATCCGCAATTGAGTTGATTTTTCGTCTCATATTTGTCCATAATTTTTCTGATTGGTCGATAAATGGCATCGATTTCAATGTGTTTGTTGATTGCTGGCTGACCGAGGGTCAAGCTTCTAGAAATTATCTGGTGTTTTTATAATTGTCTTTATCCAAGATCTCAATATTCTTCCAGTCGAATTCGCGTCCACACTAGTCCACATACATTGATATGAATGAAGATGTGCCATGGCGTTTGACCACTAATTGATGTTCACACAGGCGAAAATAAAGAGGAGGTCCGCTATGTCCTATGTAGTGTTTTTTGCAAAGTAAGCAATGACAAATTGAAGGTTGATGAAAACCAATCAAGATCGAGGTTTACAGGACAAACTGTGAGTCATATATGATGAAATTCGGACATTTCACTTCTAATTGAAATTTTTTCTGATGATGTTGTTCAAAATAACGATCAAAGCTCAACGATCAAACTGTCCAGTTCAGAGAACCAAACTTTACCAAGTGTTTTCTTTTTTTGTTTTCATTTCATTATTTAAATGAATGGCTAATATTCATAATGATTACTTCTATTCACTTATAATTTTCTCTTAAATCAACAAACATGAAAATTGATTCCATTCGTTTTAAATTAAATCACAACAATCTCTATGTAGTGAACAAGAACACGAGCGGTAGCAATCAAATTACAGAACATCTTAGTAAAATCTGAGAACCATACAGTTAAAATATCAATCCATTGTCACAAACTTAATTGTTCCTTTTACAAATATCAATCCATCATCTCTAATTTCATTGTTCCCACATTTTCACACCAATTTATTTCCATTCCCGTTGTTTCCTTTTTGATCTCCTACTGAAATACGTTCTATTCTTGACTATCATTATATATTACTTATGTATATATAAGTAGCTCATACCACATCTATATATGTTCTCCTCTCACTTTTATTCTCATTTATAGAAAAATTTTTAATTTTAATAAGTAACTGATTTCACAGATTGAAATCATGAGTCAATTGAAGCTAAACCACCATGGAAAACCTGGAAGCACTGGACGCCCGTTTCGTCCCAGCATGGGACTCCTCAGCAGTGCACATCCACGATCCCGCACCTAGTGGACTCGAACCCAGGACCTACCAGTCTCGCGCCCGCAAATGCCCTGGTATGGCTGAGAATAGGGTCGGCCCTCCCTCATCCTCGAATGCTCTCACAGGGTTGCGCGTATACAGCCTCTGCCAGGGAAGTCCTACTCACCGCCTTCTCGTGGCGGGGGTGTTGTTTACGAAAATGAGAGGACGAAAATCGAATGTCCGACGCTTTAACCGGATTCCAAACCAATGGTGCACATGGGCTCCAGTATCCTGCGGGAACAAATGGCGTATGAACCAAACATTGGTCACCGGCTACCATGGGACTGCATCTCCTCACGATGTTCCACTGCCTTGTGGATCAGACCTTTAGGTCAAAGGCTCTGGGTGTGGCCCTCTAAGAAAACCACCTTCTTCGGTCTGGGCACCTGGGCAGTATCACAGCACACACACACAAATATGGTGTGGCGCATATATATTTGGTGCCCTCTTGTACCAATATTTATATGTTGAAATAAATAAATAAATAAAATCGGTCTCGCGCCAAGCGCTTAACCAACTAGACCACCGAGCCGGCATCCAACCGTGTTAATGTCTAACTTCAACCAATCCATGAAGTTGCGCCACCGTACACCATTGTCTTCACTGAGTTCCTATCTCACAACAGACCTGGTTGAACTCCACTGGTAATAGCTTCTCACTAGAACTTCAGGAGTATCTCTTGAAGTCAGTCACTAGTGAGCAGGTGATTATTATCAGAAGGGGTTTGTGGAGATTTTAGAAATTTCACAGAGACTGATAGGTCCTGGGTTCGAAACTCGCGGGGTGCGGGATCGTAGATGTGCACTGCTGAGGAGTCCCATACTAGGACGAAACGGCCATCCAGTGCTTCCAGGTTTTCCATGGTGGTCTAACTTCAATTGACTTATGATTTCAATCTGTGAAATTTCCAAAATCTCCATAAACCCATTCTGAAAATAAATGATTTATTTAATGTAATTTTTAATTCATCATGTCAATCAATTAAAAATGAATTATTCATTGTTCAATAATTAATTGAAACTTTCTTAACAAATACTATTGAATTGTATTATGATTAACTGATTGCATGATAATTAAAATTAAAAAAGTGAATATTTCTTGTTTTAAAAAAAGAAAACACATTCATTTAAACGTAAAATAATGATCATTATCAGTATAGAGTTTGTAGAGATTGTTGAAATTCGATCGATATGATGGATGGATGGGTGGGTCAACAATAGACTATCATTGAAAGTTTGCAAGCAGTAGACGGATGTTTCGTCCTATCGTGGGCTCTTCAAAAGGGCACGTCCACAATCCCATATGTGGAATTCGACCTAGTGATTGATCTAGGGATTCGGTCTAGCGCACTTTCAGGTTTTGAATGATGATCTAATATTGATCAATTCATGAGACTAATTTAACCTTAACAATATCCACAACTCTATATCGATAACTATGTATTCACTAGTAAATGGTTTCAGAAATAATTTCATGGGGTTTTAGTGAGAAGCCGTCACCAGTGGAGTTCAACCGTGTCGGGTATGAGGCAGTTACTCACTGAAAACAATGATGAATGGTGGCGCGATATAATGGATTGGTTGAAGTTAGAAATTGACACCGTTGGATGCCAGCTGTCTCAGTGGTCTAGGGATTAATCGTTCGTGCGCGAGACCGAAGGTTCGGAATTCGAACGCCGCGTTCGGGATCGTGGATGCGTACTGCTGAGTAGTCCCATACTGGGATGAAATGGCCTTCCAGTGCTTCCAGTTTTTCAATAGTAGTCTAACATTTATCCATTCATGATACCAATTTAAACGAATGTAATTTTGTTTATAATCAGAGAGGGGTTTCGTGGATATTATATTAATTTATTAGTTGAATTCATGAGTCATTTGAAGCTACATCATCATGGAAAACCCGGAAGCACTAGACAGCCGTTTCGTCCTATTGTGGAACTCCTCAGCAGTGCGCAGCACGACTCCGCCTCGCGGGATTCGAGCGCAGGACCAGTCGGTCACTCGCGTGAACGCCTAACCTCTAAACCACTGAGCCGACCAGAATCCAACGGTGTTAATGTCTAACTTTAACTAATCCGCTAAATTGAGCGACACATTCACCATTATCTTCAGTGAGTTAGTATCTCACTACAGACCCGATTGAACTCCACTGCTCACTACCTTGTCATTTCATTTATAGTTATGAAATATTGATAAAATAATCCAAAATACCACCGACCAGATTAAGTAACAAAACAGGTAGAGTTTGGAAAATATCGAAAGAATTTATATCTTTCCATTTTGGTATATCAATCGTCTAAACGATATAAGATCGTATGTCTATTCATATACATGAGTTTTCTTATATATTAGAAATCATACTGTTACTTCAAATTCATAGTCAGAAAAACTTTTGCCATCTTCAGGAAACGTATATATATATATATATATATATATATATAAATTCACTTGGTATTGTTTACTTGAATCTTTCCACTGCTTTTTAGGACTCCATTTGATCAGTCTCTTATTAACATATGTGCATATTGTGTGTATTGCCTCGATATTGTCTTAATTCACAAACAATAAGTAAAGATGAACAGTTTTACTATCCTAATTCTATTATTCAAAAAAGTACATAATGCCGAGTGATTTTCAGTATTCAAATCAAAGCAATACACTATTATTGGTTTTAAATAAATGATAAGTAATCTTTGTTTGAACAATATCACTTTTGTTTATTCAACTCTTCAATCTGCTGAAGTGGATCATTGTGTTATCTACCATTATTATACTTCTCTTTATGATTAAGTCGATCAACCTCTTAGACAACAATCTGTAATTTCAAGTACCATTATGTATAATTCTTGTTTTATAAGATAAATTAAACAGTCTATTAATCAATATAGTACACTTTACTTACTATTATTTCATTTGATATTTTATTTATATAGAGAGAATCTACCTCAAGCTGGTGAACAACAATGGAAGTATACAATATCATTAGATACCAGTTTTACTGATGCCTTAGCAAAACAGGGTGTTGCTTTAGAAGGTTATATTAAACAAGAGAAAAATTGGTTGGCTTCATCAACAATATTGAAATTATCTTCAGATTTAAGTGAATGTCTAGAAACAATGCAAAATATTTATAAAAACACTGAAGAGTAAGCTAAAATTTATAATTAAAAAAAGTATCTTTCAGATTTTAATTTAATATACAGTTTGAAGTAATTTTTCATCTTGAACTGACAGGATTTGAAGAATTATTAAAATTTATTTACTTACTTACTTACGCCTGTTACTCCTCATGAAGGAGCATAGGTCGCTCACCATTATTCTCCATCCAACGCCGTCCTGGGTAATCTTTTCTAGCTCTTTTCATATTTTATTCATCGTTTTCATATATGCTTCTATTTTCCGATGTAATCTGTTCTTTGGACTTCCTCTTTTCCGCTTCCCTTCAGGATTCCAAGTTACCGCCTGTCTCGTGATGCAGTTTGATGATTTCTGTAATGTATGTCGTATTCATTTCCATCGTCTTTTCCTAATTTCCTCCTCAGCTGGAAGCTTGTTTGTTCTATCTCACTGTAGGCTGTTACTGATGGTATCCGGTCAATGGATGTTGATTATCTTGCGTAGACAACTATTTATAAATACCTGTACCTTCTTGATGGTGGTTGTAATAGTTCTCTAACGCTAACCATTAAAACTAGGGGACAATAAATAGTTGTTTCATTTTAGTCTGGGACTTCTAAATATTCCTTTATCAAGATTTCTATATAGAAATGAACTCAAGTTAATTTCATATGAGAAACCTAAGTTGGTCAAGTTCAACCATTTGGGAAACAAAAAAGTTATCATTGACTGCGTTTGTAAATATAAACATCTCTTAGAGTTACGGTACATAACGATCAAAATTACAATACAAACTGATCCTAACCTCTATAACAAAAAATCTTACATTGCCACACCAGAACACTCCATACAATAAACGAATCAGTTCTAAAGAAGTAGGAATCAAAAACTTTGTACTGCATAAGCCTGATAGGTTCTTTAAACAAAGCCTGAAATTTATGTTTTAAAGCACCATGATTATTCTTTCAGTAACGTGGTCCTAACTTTTTAATTTTCATACTTAATACTCAGTTATTATGATTACTTAGAGATTATAAACTGACCAATTTCAGACCACTACTAAAAACATGAAAGGAATGGATAGCCATGTCGTCCTAGCATTGCACTCCTCAACAGTGCACACCCGTAACCGTGCACACGAGGATCGAACCAAGGACCTTCGGTTTCGCGGGCAAACACTTAACCTCTAGGCTAGTGAGCTGGCATTCAACGGCGTTAATGTCTAACTTCAATCAACCCACGATATTGCACGACCACCTTCGATTGTCTTTGACCGGTCTATGGTTTCCATGAAAATCAATCATCTCCACAACTTTGTACTGTTATGATTATCTTCAATTTTTCTCCTTCACTTTCTACATATTCATCAAATGGATAATTATCTTCCAAACTTTTTGTATATCAACTATTTTTATCTTACTATTTCATATGAATCATTACATCAATACACCAACTACTCTAAGTACCTGAAGTTTTCGAATACATAATTAGTGACTCTATTTCATCAAACAACATAAATGGAGTGCTGTTTCATACTTCGTTAAAACCTATTCACGACATTATCTATGACCTTTCGAAATATGAGAGTACGATTTTTAGAGAAATTTTCAATGAAGGTAATTTAAAATCAAGTACACAAACTTTAATGAATTTGACTTATATGTCGAAAACCGGTGCATTCATTCACTTTGTTTTAATTCACATTAAGGTTATTCCATTGACTAATCGAACTGGTTAATTCAACTCTCAACATATTAAAAAAGAACTTCTACCTTAATCGATAATTTCTACCTTTTTAACCTCTTTTTCATATAGAAAACTGTTAGTTGTCAAATTATAAGCTATTACTATTATTACAATGACCGTAATAGAATGTTTGTCCCATTTTCTATAATATATTCATATGAATTTCCTATACTATTTATAACTTATCACACAACAAAAGTGTTTCTTAATAATACAATTACACTAACATATCCACGTAATGTTATTTCATTAGTATGTGACCTTTTAGATGTACTAATCATAAATTTCATGTAGATATTCTAATAGTAACTGATATGAATCTTGCCATTTTCATAGTTGAATGCTAACTGATACAATCAAGATTTTAATATATACCCTAAGTCAATTATCGTAATACAATTTTTTATAGACTTATCATATAAGAACCTTTCAGAAAAAGTTAATAAAAACATTGATTACTTCAAACATTGAGTTATAAGAGGTTGAAGATGCCACAGGTAATTGGAGTTGGACAACGCTTTAACCAGTGACACCTTCTACTATGAATTGTGCTCACCTAGTGGAATCAAAAGTCAGAAGCGTGGAGGTTCAAAGATATATTTGATAGGCTATCAATATATTGAGAATCGACTGATCTAAACAGGCTAGCAATTGCAGGGTAAGTTGAGTATGGCGTTCCCACTAGCGATCTAGTGAGGATATATGACCGAGAGCCTTCATTTAGGTGAGTTCACTAAAACTAATGTGGTCAGCATCCAATGTTGAAAATTTACAGAGCTATTGATTTTGGGGATTTATTTACCGCTACAAGGTAAATTCCAAGATTAAATGAAGATAAAGTATCTTTTCACCAAGTAATCCTATTCGTAGCATTTAAGAAAAATGTCATAGGAAATAATCATTTATAAATGGATTTAACGATAATTTTTCACCACAAACTCACTTGGACAGAATAATCGTTAAAGAATGTGCTAAACAGTTGTTTATTCTTAATTTTGTATATGTCCAAACACTACGGCGTTAAGTAACACCGATTAAAGTTGGATGCTGAATCAGTGGTCTAATGACTAAGCGTTTGTGCGCGAAACCGAAAGTCCTGGTTTCGAGTCTCGTATGAAGGATCGTGGATGCTTACTTCTGAGGTGTCTTATGATAGGATAAAACGACCATCCAGTGCTTCTAGGTTTTCACTGGTGGTCTAGCTTAGATTGACTCATGAATTCAACTGTTAAAATTACCAAAATCTCCACAACTCCTCTTAATGATACATAGGTTAGGCAATAAATACAGTGCCTGTAGGCAAGTGACTTAAATTCCATTAATCTATATTTTGAAGGAGGCTTAATTCACGATATGACTTGGCCGTCATCACCTAACTACATAGATAGTATCAGTCCAGAATAATAATAAAAGATTCGGAATTAAATTGTCCAATTCAGTGAACGTAACATCGCAAATGAATCTATGAGTTAAAAGATTTATTATTATATTGTAACTATTTTAACAGTTTGATTCATGAATCGATTTATGGTAGACCACCATCAGAAATCTGGTAGAACTAAATGGCTATTTCATTCTAACATGATACTTCTCAGCGGTGCGCATCCACGATCTCACATGTGGGACTTGAACCCAGGACCTTTGGTCTCGTGCGAGAACGCTTAATACCTAGACTACTGAAACGGCATCCAGAGGCGTTAATATCTAACCTCAATCGATCCTTGATCTTTCACAAACCTTCATCTATTGTCTGAGGTGGATAACTGTCCCCGCCAGATACGGATTGAACACCACTAATCATGTCTTCTCACTGGAATTCCAAGAGTTTAAGCTTGAAGCTGGTAAATAGTGAGCCCATGATTACTATTAAAAAGGGGATTTGTGGAGATTTTAGTAATTTTACTAGTGCTTCCATGTTTTCAGTGGTGATCAAGCTTAAATCAACTCATGAATTCAATTATTATTTACTTGTGAGTTATTGGTACATTTATTATTATGGATTTGACAGACATTCTAAGTAACTGATCTCTGATCGGTAAAACTAGTGGGCAGCACTACCGTAAAATAATTGTTACTGATATTTTATAGCTGGCTATGAATGTAAGCACCAAAATACACAGAGCTGTAAACATTTTAACAATTGTCTGTCTTTTATCAATAGTAATCTATGTATTATTTATTAGCCCGCACTCCCCCACTATTACAGACATAACTTTACCACAGTAGTGACGAAAAATTCTCACTAAAAACTCTGAAACAATCTAACTTCTTGTTACATTATTCGACTGAAAAGTTTCCCTCCTGATGATTGTCAGAATTCAACGAGCACCTTGAGAATTGTATAAACATTAAATCAGTCATTACACAGTGGTCAGTAAGTCATTAATATATAGGTCATACACGAAGTCCGTTACAGCCCAAAGAGCTGAAAGTTGAAGTCTCAAATTGTGAAGCTAGGTGATTTGGGAGCATCAGTTACTTCATGATACGCTTTACTGATGAATACTGAGTACTAAGACACCTTATTCTGCGGTTTCCTATAGACTGCCCCTAATAACCTAATGAACATCATATCTTAAGTTTACTGATAGTTCGAAATTCGTCATAAACTTTATTCAAGAATTATATAGTATCCAAGTCATACATCATTTTATAAATAATCAAGATATTTAAGAGGTATAAGCCCATAACTTTTATCTTTTTGATATCTTTGCCTATGATTCCATCATCGCTTTTTCTAGATCTACGGAAGCGGCAATCAAAGCGAATAAAGAATTACATGGAGTTGTTATATCATACTTTGTTCGTGTTAGATGTTGGGTAGGGATCAGGTAATTCCTTTGTTAGTGTTATAATCTTTATTTATTATCATCTTATTATGCATTCGATTAAATGGTTTATTTAGATACAAAATTATTACAAGAGGTTTGTGAAAATTTGTGGAATTTCACAGATTATTCAACAGACTATCCGGAATGTCAACCAATCAACGTTGGGCCTCGTCTACACAACAGATACCTATACACGATATCTGTGAAATTTGCCAAAACTTTCAAACTTTACGTTGAACCGGAGAAATTAGAAATGAGATTTAAGGCTTTTAGTTTAACGATTATTTTTTGGTTTGTAACTAACATTGAAATTCATGACTTATGTTTCCATATATCTAACATTCATTAGTTGTTCTTGTCTGCATCGCAGTGTTGCCATTAATATTGAGATTCAAATCCCCATGTCTTTTTCACTAGGTTACTGTTTCTATATAGCCATTAACTTGTTTAGTACTAAAGTATACTGCCAGCAGTACAGAGTTATTCTCTGTCTGAGCACATTCATCCATTAAGATCGATCAAATGGGGTTCTCAGGCTTAACAGTAGGATCTTACAAACTCACAAAAGTAACCTTTGGTTTACAATTTAAATCAATAACTATCAATGAATACTTTAGGTATTAAATCAAAATATTGCGAATCTCTGTCAATGAATTTAAATAATTCTAATGTGTCATAAGATACTATGGCTCAAGCCTTATAGTCTGTCAAAACGACTTATTTGATCATAGCCATGATAACTAGATGTAAATATAAAGTAAATGGACATCATCACAGCTAATAACTTAAAAAGTTTTTACCACGGACGATTTACATTCACATCATAAATTAAGTTCATTGAATGAGACTGAATAGTCAAGTGTGGTTTTCGTGACATCGACTTCCATAATTTTGAAGTAGTTAGAATAAGATTTACAAGTGAAAATGGCAAGACTATAATTTATGGATGAACCAATCAAATATAAATAACAGGTCTTGGATTTCGGCGCGAAATTCACTAATTCATTTGGCTAAATAGAGTTTTGGCATTATAGCTTATGTTAGTTCGTGATAAAAACCCTTAACCTAATTCCTAACCTTAACTGTCAATTGTAAATCATAATTCTAATTCCTCACATTGGTCTATAACCCTCGTTTGGTCCTTGTTAATAGGTGAACACTCTCAACGTCACTTTAGCGTCGGTCAAAGGTCGTCTTCACTGTGAAAAATTCGACTCGTTCAATTTCAATCGATAAGGTCTCGACAGCACTATTATGATATCTGATGTCTTCCCTTTAGTCGGCGATCTCAGTATAAGTTTATAGAAAATGACGAACTCAGTCAAATGTTGTAAATTGTTTTTCTTATATTGATCTATCACTATTGAAAGATGAGGTCTTCGCTATTTCTTTCATTGACAACTTGTTTATATTCTAATTATTGGTTAACGTTGAAATTAACGACATGCAGCACCTTATCCTAATCAGAGATTTCATTTGGCAGTCAATTACGATAGTATAAATTCAAATAGTAATATTATACATTAACTTAGCAAGGAATCCGTTTGATTTCACTTATATATATATAATACGTAATATAATAATTTACTGAGAAATGTTGATACTACTCTTAATGACTAAATCAGTAATAATTTCAATTATGTTTTAATGGAATTTATTTCTCTTCTAGTCGATTTTCTGTCCATGTACCATTTTTATTAATGCAACCAGAAAAAGAACCTAGCACTATAAATAATAATGATATACGTTTAACTACTCATACTGTTCAAGCTGATGTAGTAGAAAATCAGGTAAGTTAATACAACTGGGTTACATGGATCTAAATGATTTCAATTTTACATTAATAATTGTTAATGATTATTATGTTTAGATTGATATCATGAATGGATCAATATTGGATCAGCATTGAAAATATGGAAGCACTGGACAATCGATTTATCCTAGTATGGGACTCCTTCAATAATGATCTATTCATGAAATCAATCTAAGGTCAACAATCTTCACAAACTTTTATTGAGATTTATTATGTTACCTAATCTTTTGGTATTAAAGACAGTTATTTTAATTATTCGGAATGTTAGGAGATTGTATTACATACTGCATGGTATTAGATGACATTGAATAAAGTAATCCAGAAACATTGAAACAACACTGTCACAAAATTGTGGCTCAATACAGCGGTTAGAAATGTTAAACAATCAGTTATTAAGGCAGCATCATTTTTTTATTATCAAATGTCAAACAGAATAAACTTATGTTAAGCACCTTTTTTGAATTTGCACTAACTACCTAAGTTAGGTGACTAATCTTACAACTGGAATTATCAACGCGTAGAATAAATCTTGATCATAGGTTTGTTGATTATATTTTTTACTTCAATGTGGTAGAAAGTAAAGATTCAGGTAAAACAATATCAAGTGAATTAAACTTCAGCCCATTGAACAAGCAAGTGGCTATCAGGACTCAGTAGCTAAGTGGATAACGAGATGGCGTTTGAAGCGAACGGTACTGAGTTCGAGTACCAGAGTGAACATCAACTCTGAGATGCAGGTACATCCAGCTGACGAGTCCCAAGCAGGACGAAACGCGCGTCGTGGATTCCACTGCTAGCCACTATCCATCTTTGCTTAGAAAGTAAAGCTGTTTAAAATATCTGTTATGTCCTTAGCTTATATGATCACCACGAATACGATTGACAAATTTAGATATGCGGACTTATACAACCAACAAATGACTCATAAACCTGTGCAAGCAGCCTAAAGTCCCAATAGATTCTTTTCCCTACCTGTGAAGTCCAGAACACAAATCACAGCCTCCGCAATATAAATAATGTATTACAAACATACTGAATTTATATACAAACCAAACAGACCACAGCATACCATAAAATAGAAAATAACATTTGTATAAGATCTAACCAAAAGTGGCTGTGAATGTGGAAGATTGTAATTAGTAGACTGGACATAACTCAAGAATGGTAGATCGTATAATGATAGTTTATAAGTCAAAATGAAGCTTATAATATGAGGAACACGAACATGAATAGTTTAGTTACATAACGATTACACAATGAAAATATATGTATAGTATTGATCCAAAAATAGATCCCAACAGTTACCGTTTATTATACTCGTCGAAATATAACAATATCATCTAAATATTTTATTGTACTTCATATCAATGTACAAAAAGGTCCGTACATCAAAACTCTATCAGAATTTACTTTAAAGCTCTAATTAGAATGGACAAATAACATTAATTTGTATTAATTTACTTCTATTCTAAAAGTTCAACAAAATAATAAACAAATCTGTGGTACAATTGTACTACCTAAACTTGTGTTACTTTCGGTTATTTATTTACTCTGAAGAAGTGGCTTTAATTAAGTCACGAAACGTCAGAAATACAATTTTCCTACTCATTGGGATACAACAAAAATATATTTATTATTACCGAACGAATGAGCATATGAATCAAAAAATAGGATAGACGAATCTAAATTACTGAGTTCACTGAAATAACATACTGGATATATAGTGATGAGGAGTCCCATATCAGAAAGGTATACCAATCTAGTCCATCTTGGTTTTCAGTGTCGATCTAAACGAAATTAGTTAATGATGTTAATCATGAAAATTAATATTTGTAACATCATATAACTTGTAAAAAGTTGCACAGGACTTAATAATAGTTAGTAGTATGTTGTAACACAAAATCAAGAACGAAACTACTTAATTCACCCTATAATGGTTGCTTGAATATTCCAATTGACGCTTAACTGTAATTGAATCGTCTATTATTGGTATGTTTGCATCCAGTAGATAATAGACTCAGTAGCTAAGTGGATAGTGCAACAGCGTTTGAAAGGAATGGTATTGGTTTCGAGTCCTGGAGAGAACATGAACTTTGAGATGCAGGTACATCCAGCTAGTGAGCCCCAAATATGGTGATACACACATCCTGGATTTCACTATTAGCCATCATTCATCTCTGCTTATTACAATACTTAAGTTTAATCAATAGATCTAACTTTTGTATTATTGTGAAAGTATTTGTGTATAAATGAATCATCTGGTGTATAAAAACACTTCAACACTTCTAGTCTCATTTAAATTACTGCTTCGTGATTATCAAATGTTAAATAAAAATACTCTGTACAGTACGACGATGTGTACAACAACATACCGCTTTAACAACACTTTCAATGTTTAGAACTTTATAAAACATGTTTAAATACGGAAAATCGAAGATTATATAAAGCTGACGCTACCAGAAAACCATTTTTCGCCAACTGTGACTACTGAAAACGAGTATAAAATCATGTCTTTAGAAATCTTCTTATAAATATTCCAATAATTATATCTTATATGAAACGAAAACTAACTCATTTCATTTTATTTTTAAGGTATTGAATCTCCCATTCATTAGTGTTAAGGACTGAATTTTGATAAGTCTGTTTGTGTATATGTGAATCCTAATTGTCATTAGGCCAGACTTCTTAAATAAAGTTGGACAGTGGGTAGGATTGGAATCCAAGACGCTCATTTCTTCTTATTTGGAACTCGTCAGCTGAATGTACCCGTATCCTAGTGTTAGGACGAAATGCGCCTATTATATTTCACTGCGGGTTTAATAGCTTACTTTGTATTCTACATAATACTAGCGGACTTCACCGGATTACAGTGAATAGAATATTTGTCAAATTTATGTTTAGCAAAATAACTATTTGATCTTAGATAAGAATTACATTTTGAAAGAATCATAGAATCCATAGATGTAAAACACAGAATAAATTCGTCATAATATTACTTATATTCTTCTGATGCTCATTGTTATAAAAAAGGTCGTAGATCTAGATAACTAGTTCTCAATGGAATCATTGATTTTACAACTATCTTGAATGCGATTGTTGGTTAATAGATTAAAGCAGCATTGTAATCTTGGTATCGTATAATCCATTCATACAAATCGGTGGGTAGTTTAGCTTTAAAGAAAAAAACAATAACTGAGTGAAATGTGCTAAGGTATCATAAGTAAGCTTTTAAGAAAGTAGTCTGCAAATTTCCACGAAATGTAATTATGACAGGGATGTAAATTAGACTAATGACATTTGATAGTTTATACAATCAAATGTAGGTTGTGAATGTATAACTATTTAGTTCAAAAAATATTAGATTTATACTAAATGTCTATGAACGTCTTATTCCTTTTGTGACCTAATAATGAATGTGCATAAACGTTGTGGCTTTTTAAGAATAATCAGTATTTTTATCACTGTGATTATTGTAGACATAAGTAGTATGTAGCATGAATCAGAAGTAGAATGACTGACAACAGAAGGTTGAGAAAATTGAATTGAAGAGTATGGAAGTAGAGTAGTTGTAATAAAAACAGGAATTTAGGAACAATGAAGTTTGTAAGAGACAATTGATGAATGATGTGCAAATAAAGTATTTCATATATAATTTTCATATTTTACGAAGACATTGTGTAATTGGTTCACCTCACCAAGTCTTCGATCACTACATTACTACTATACGTTTCATTACCGATTAGTTTTAAAATCAACTTTTCTCAAACTAGTATATGATGATATTAGAAATGATATTACTTACATTCTTACATACTTACATGGAATCCTCAAGGCCAAAGGAAAAGAGGAAGACCAAAGAACACATTACGCCGGGAAATGTAGATAGACATGAGAAAAATGAACAAGAATTGGATGGAACTAGAAAAGAAGGCCCAGGACAGAGTGGGTTGGAAAATTCTGGTCGGCGGGTATGCTCCATTAAGAGTAACAGGCGTAAGTAAGTAAGTACGTACTTAAGCCTGTTACCATTCATAGAGGAGCATAGGCCACTAGAGATGGTACAATGTCATTTTATTTCAAATACATGGTTTATTTCATTACTAATAACTTTCATTCTATGGAATATTTGAAATATTTTTTTAAGTTTTCCCTACTCTTTATTTACGTTGTAGCCAATGGAAGACAAATCAGAAAAGAAACAAATTGAAATACCTCATGAAGATCAAGATTAATTATTGTAAATCATAGTTGAAGTATCAATATTACATTCGTCACCAAAAGTATATACAAATTGAAACAGCCTAGTACTTTGTTTATGTAGAAAAATAAAATTAAAAAAATTCTTTTTCTCTTTTTTGTACATCACAGTTGATTGTATCAGTTTTACAATGTACTTTTAATCTTATATTCTATTGAATAATTTCTGTAGAAAAATGAATAGATTTTTACGTTATTTCTCTTTCTATGAATTTACTTGTCATGATTAGAAGGGGGGTTTTGTGGATATTATTAGTAATTTCAATAGTTAAGTTCACGAGTCAATTGAAACTAGAATACCATGGAAAGCTTGGAAGTACTGGACGGCCGTTTCTTCCTAGTGTGGGACTCCTAAGTAGTGCTCATCCGCTATCCCGCCTCACAAGATTCGAACCCAGGACCTATCGGTTTCACGCCTGATTGCTTAACCAATAGACCACTGAGCCGGCCAGAATCCAACAGTCTTGATGTATAACTTCAACCAATCCACGAAATTGAGCTACCGTCCACAATTGCCTTCAGTGACATTAACACCGCTGGATGCCGGCTCAGTGGTATGAAGGTAAGGCGATCGCGCACAAAACCGATGGGTCCTTGGTTCGAATCTCTGGGGGCGGGATTGTGGATGCGATATACTGGGTAGTCACATACTAGGATGAAACTGCCATCCAGTGCTTCTAGGTTCCCATAGTGAGTAGCTTCAATTGACTCATGAACCTAACTATTAAATCACTTTTAACTTCTTGTTCATGATTGGCTTAAATTATAGATGTCATTGAAGTATATCATGGAATAAAAACCATCTTGTCGTTTTTCTCTTGACGTACGTTAAAAATAAGTCTACCAGTACACGATTTACTGTTTATGCTATGCGATCAGTAAACATAAGAAAATAGTTTCACCTGTTCCCCGCTCGGTAATTCTTCTTAATTTATTTTGCGCATCCTTAATGTACTGTAATTGATGAACAGTAAAAGATACAGTAGTAACATTTAACGCGTCAAATGTAAGGTTGTATTCAACATTGTTTAAAAATAGATCTATTGAATACTTAAAGAATAGTTTCAAAAGTAGCTTATTTCAATTACAACGTCAATATTAATGTATTTAGTAAATAAGTCTGTAACAATGTAGAACTTCGTACGTACGTACATCAGTTCAAGTTGCCATATCACATAAGCACAGAGATGCAGTTGTCGATTCGAATCCCGTAGTTGTAGAGGTAGTAAGAGTTTAAGTAGTAATCGGAAAGATTAAGGTTTGAAGATGTTATTCAAGGAGTTTAATCCAGTAAAATAAATTTGCAAAAAGAAGAATAAAAGAGACAAGGAGAATTCAGAAGATAAGAATCTGGGAGAACACAAAGAGTAGATGCACCTGACCGACTGTAGCTGCTACCTTGATGTGGTGGTCGGGCTTCCCTATCGCGATGACTTAATCAAGCTATATTGGCTAGAACATATGTTCCTGATGGTTATATCATGCTAGGTAGGTTGATTGAAGAACGGTTGGACTATAAGCAGCAACTCGAGGTCTGAGGGTAAAGTCATACTGCTTACTGTAGAGGGGTGTGACGGCAATAAGGTGTTTCCCTCGGACAACCAGTATCTGCAGCGATTCTGCCTTCTCACGAGGAAGGAAGGGGTTAGAAAAGGTTGACCCTAAAAATGTCACACCTCAATGTTATTTCCTATATTTTGACTTACTAAGTAAATTACTTCTCTTCAATTCATAATATCTTTAATGGACGTTTCACAGTTATGAACATTACTATCATCTCTCCTTCACTTTCGGTATGTATATCATTAATTTTTTTACTTTATTAATCAAGTGTAGTAGTTTGAGCTGATGTACTTTATGCTAAGAACTACATTATTTATGAATGAATAACATTCCTGTTTTTTATAGATAATTTCCATAAAATTATCTCTCAGTGACCCTTAATCTGACTTCAGTTAGATCGTATGCTTGATTGTTTTTGAAATATACATGTCGTCAATCCTCGCATATAACTATTGAGTTAAATCGCCTTAGTGAATATAGCGGAATTAAATAAGCCAAATACGAGGAAGAATTTCGACTAAATATATTTTGTATACTCATCGATTTTGACAGACAATCAGATGGACGGAGCGAAGAGAGGAGAGCAAAACAAAATGACGCGCGGTGAACAAAGCGTGTGAGACAACTCCGTTTAATTAAGCGTTAATTGATATTTATAGCCGAACAAAAATATGCTACAGACATTTGATGAGTAAGATAGGAAATGAACACATATACTTTCGTATAAAAATGGTCAAGGTTGATAAGTGAATAACTAACACAGTCAAAACATGACTCAAGAAGAATGGAAAAATTGGCCTGTCCAGAAGCTAGAATAAATTATATGGGCTTAATATAGTAACCGACACTACAATCTGATATTTGTTTACAATCTTAATTAAAAAGTAACAAAAGTTATTTGATAATTAACTTATATTATTTTGTTATCTTCTTTGTATGTAAATTGGTTACTATTTGTAAAGTCTATTGTACTGAGCAACTGCAACAAATTCAAACGAATTTTTCAAAAATTCCCATTAAATCTAAGGCCATTGCTTAAACACTCAAATAATTACAAGGCAGATATACGACTATACAGCTTCATACAGAGAATTAGTTCCGGTGCAAAATATGCGATTATCAGTTCTATAAATTTACTATGTATTATTTGCCTTAAGTCACAAGCTTTATAAGCAAAGATAGATAGTGGCTAGCAGTGGAATCCAGTATGCGCGTTTCGTCCTATTGGTACTCATCAGTTGGATGCACTTGCATCCCAAAGTTGATGTCCAAACTGGGACTCGAACCCAGTACCGTTCACTTCATATGCCATCATGTTATCCACTTGTTTACTGAGTCTTGATAGCCTCCTGTTTGTGCACTAGAGTGAGGCTGGATGTACATCCAGTTAACAATTCCTGAAGCCTATTGCTAGCCACCACCATCTTTGCTTATTATTTATATACTTGCAAGTAACCTCAAAGTTTTGAATAATGAAGGGAAACACTAAAATTTGTAATAATCTGTGTGTTTGTTATAATGCTCGGTTTTCCCGTCTACACTAATGTGATGATAATTTGTTTTAGACGAATATCTACACTAGATACCCTATCAGTGTCTATTCTACCAGATTTCAACACAACTCAGAACACGCGACCAGCCTGACTAAAACGTAGGTATATTTACACACCAGAAACCGACAAAAACCACAATAATAATAAGGATAGGAGAATACATAAGCTTGTATTATATCCTGGAATTTCCCAAAGACATTGAGTAGCTGAAAATATTTGAGACATTCGTTTCAACCACTTAAAAGCTTGTAATTACAATAATTGAGATTATTCAACAGAAATATTTACATACAATCCAGGTCAAATACGTTTTATCAGAAAGGGTGTTTTTGTGGAGATTGTAACAATTTAATAGTTGGATTTATGAGTCGATTAAAGCTAGACCGCTATTGAAATCCTAAAAGCACTAGACGGCTGTTTCGTTCTAGTACAGGGCTTCCTCGGTATTGTGCATCCACGATCCTGCACGTTGAACTCGAGCCCAGAGTCTTCGGCCTCGTGTGTGATCACTTAACCTCTAGACCACTGAGCAGGCATCCGACGGTGTTAATGTCTAACTTCAACCAATCCACGGTATTGCGAGACCGTCCATGATTGCCATTTATAAAAAATTATTTTCATTGGATATTATTATTACAAATATCTTATATTTATTTTATTGTAATTAACTGAGAATTGATTGGTCACCATGAATTTATTATTTATTTTAAAGTGAATACAGAGGGATAAGAAAATTGAATTTATCAAGAAGACCCATTTGATCAAATTTTCAAACTTTAGAATATTCTATTGTTTATATTAAAACGCTTCTCACTCTTAAGGGTTAGTGTCACCTCGTTATTGATTAACAAGAATGAATTTTGATCAGTCTCTATAGAAACGTCAGCTATAAGCAGATGTAGCAATAAAGTCGTATTAGGGAAAGACGCTGGAAGTGGATAGGGCATACAGTGCAGAAATCATCAAACTACATCACGAATGAAACATTAACTTGGGATGCTGAAGAGAAATTGAAAAGAGGAAGGCCAAAGAACACACTTCATTGAGAATTGGAAGTAGACATCAAAAGATGAATAGCAATTGGAAAGAACTGAAAAGGATTTCCCAGGACAGGGTTGGATGGAGAATGATGATGAGTTGCCTATGCTCCTCTATGAGGAGTAACAGACATAAGCAAGTGTAAGTTCATATTACCTTCTGGTTACGGTTTGGAGTGAAATCCAAGACTAAGACGTTTTCTTGTTCGAGTATCATCAATCCGACACATCTATATTATGGAGTACCTACGCCTCGAATACTAACGCTCTCAAAGAGTCCACCGTCTTTATTTGCTGATAATTTACTAATAAATAATGTGCAGAATAAACTAATGGAACAATGCTTAAAACGATTTTGCTGAAAACTGTGATGTACGCTACCAATGTGTGCAGACATAAGTAGTATTTAACACTGGTCGGGAATGGAATGTCTTCGAGCAGGAGTTTAAGAATATTGAAATGAAGAGCAGAGAGAAGGAAATTGAAAGCAATGAAGATAACAACAAGAATGAAGGAGAAATACAGCTTGTAAGAGACAATTCAAAGATGTTCAGATGATGTAATTTATGCAAGATTTTTACAATTTACTAAACCACTGTATGATTGTGCATCAGCCAATGATGTGTTCTTCCCCACCAGAGTGTTTGTTCATTGAAATACTAGTTAACATTAGTTTTAATAACCAGTGTGGAGGTAGGCCTGACAAGCTTATTTTATAAATAGTTTTTAATGTTATTTGTATTTATTTTGTCAATTTTTCACTGTATGTACATTTGTCATTAAATGACTGTACGTGTTGTCTAAGTGAATGACTTTGAACAC